TGAGAGGAGCCCAGCAGAGCTGGTAGTCCTTGCCCAGCTGCCCACAGCATTGGAAGTAGCTGCTATCTACTGTACTTTGCAAGTAGATCACTACAGGCATATCAAAACAAAACCAGGCATTAGAATTACATTTGGCAAGAATCTGGATGCCTATTAATACTGGTTTTGCAGCTTGTTGGTGCAACCTTTGTTGGTGACTCAGAGTCATTTTTGCTTGTCTGTTTCAGGTGTGTTTTCATCTGAAGATTTAACTCTTTCTTCAGTGCAGTGCAGTACAGTTTCGTATTTGTAAGGGATGTTAACATCAGCTTCTATTATATTTGTAAAGAAGAGAAGAAAAATACATTTTAGAAAAAGGTCCTTATTGGAAGTCATAGCTGTTCACTGAGATGCCTCAGGCAATTACCTGAAAAAATCTTTTCAAGCCAATAAATAGTGTGCGATCTGAGGAAAGAAAGGAGGAAATCGAAAAAACACCACCCACGGTGGTGGAGGAGGAACAGGGAAAAACTCTTCTTTTAAAATAATTGAGCTTAACATCAACAGTTGAAACTACCAGCTACATGGAAGTAATAATGTGGCCCAAATCCCTGGGAGAAAAAGAGAGTACTTGATTTTTGGATTTTTTTCTTCTTTGAATGTAAATTGTTTTTTGCCTCAAAAGAAATAGCTGAGTAGGGTAAATGGTAGTTTTTCTCTCTAATACAATTTCATTATGCGCAGAAAAATAGAAACAGTTTGAATCAGATCAGTATAAAGAAAATCTCTCAGTTTAAAGTTATCTTCATTTTTTTCACAGCAATGCAAAGGAATGGCCAGTGGTAGTCTGACTACTACTGCAACTCTTACTCCTTGTTTTCTTTTGGCAGGGTGAGCAAGTCAAGCATGTATTACTTTTTAACTCCAACTTCTTAGAGGGCATTTTTTTATAATTAAATGTCCTGGATTTCATATACACACCTTACTAGGCTGTTTTCCTTATATTTTTTCAGTACAGTTATACAGAGGCTAAGGTTCAACAACAGACTTAAATGGGACTACAGTAGGTCTTTTTAGAGGTGAATGGCTCTTAGGCGGTCTGTCTTCATTTAGAGAAGAGAGGCTTTCTTTTTTTCTTAGTAATGAGTTATTAAATGGGTTTCTAAGTCTTTAATTTACTCTTATTTTTGCATCTTAGTGTCAGACATTCATCCAGCAAGAGGTAGATGGGAATAGAGTTTACTGACCCAGATATTTTCCTTTAGCACAGCAGTTTTATATACATTAGGGTAGTAGCACCTGTAGCCCATTCTAACAGGGCTCTAGTCAATGGCCTATTTTTAACAGCACCAATGTATTTTTTCTCAGTTCTCTGCAGTGATTTACCCACCAGAGCACCGGTAAATGGCAGTTATCAAGATGTCAGATGCATTAATGACTCTTGACACTAGATAAGTATATTGCAAACATAAAATTCTTACCTGTTAATTGGGAGAAAAGAAATCACCAGAAGAGCACATCTCCAGCAAGACAGATAGGCTTTTTGAGACCTAGAGATACAGAACATTTCTAAGTGTAAAGTCTGCATAAATACTTTAGGATGCGACCCTATCTTCTCAAACCTCTGACTACAAAAATTAAAGGACGCTGGAAAAACTACAAAGATTGTATAAGTAAAGAAGTGAATCCATATTTTAGGAACAATTGCTGAGTCCTCATAACTGTACTCACAAAATGCAGAAACAAAATTCATGCTTTCTTTTCGGAAAGGCCTGAGACTCTTTAGCACAAGGCACTAGGATCTCATCCAACAGCAAATTGCATGTTTTTCTGTCTCTCAGTGTTATACAAAGCTTGTTTGTTCTCTTTTTTTATCCATATTTAAAAGTAACAGGAAAAAACGAAGGGGCATCATTTGGGGATGCTTTTCTAACAAAAGTTGTGAGAAAAGGCAGGGGGAATGCGCAATGCAGGTCTGCTTGAGGTACTCAGGGATGAAGATACAAATGCTTCAGCAGCCAGCATGCTGCAGCTTTAAACCTCGTCTTCCAAAATTCATTCTGCAGTGCCATGAATGCTGAAATATTTTCCTTTGGTCATTTAAAAGCAAATACTCACATACCTTAGTACAAGCAACCAGCACATCTGGTAAAGAAACAACGCAAACAAGTTCTATGAAGAATGCTGCATACAAGGACTAAGATTTTATCAACAAAGATTTTATCAACAGTGTGACAAAGTTGGCTCCTCACCTAATTACAGTGCAGTCCTGCTTTAAATCCTCCACTTTGTGAATGGAAAAGAAAAACAATGGTGAAGCTTTAGGGCAACAGTGGAAAGAAGAAACAATTGATCTTCTCAAACCCATGAGAAACCATGACAGGGCAAAGACATGCATATGAAGTCCAGACTGATAAAAACCTGTTTCACCAGGTTGGGAGCTAACAGTTCAAAGGATGACTAGCTGTGAAAAGTTTCTCAAAAAAGAAACTGCATAAGTAAGAGTGGTAAGGTGCTCCAGGTTGTCCAAAATCATCTTCAGGACCTGTAACCAGAGAGAAACCAGCTATGGACAGTTACAGTTAACCTAAACCATAAGGAGAAGCTGAACGTATCTGTTTACTGTCCTAAAAGATTCTGTGCATTCAGAACAGGCAAAGGTCCATCAGCTGAGTCTTTCAGTTACCAAATTTGCATCATTTTGAAATTAAGTATCATGATACATTGTCTCAGTTCTGTCTAAAATTCTAGTTCAGTCTTGGGCATGACTCCCAAAATGATAATAATTCCGGTATGAGTGAGCACTTTCCATTTCCATCTTTTTTCCCAACCATTTATCTTCCTTTTCTTTATTTTACTACTTGAATTATGTCTAGACCTCTTAAACATAATAATAAAGTAGCAGTTACTGTGGAAAGATAGCCTTTTTATTCTAAGGTAACTAAATTACATAGTTCTATTTTATTTTTAATACAGCAGCAATTTGTTCTGCTGATGTGGGTTTATTCTTCTGAAGCATGCAGGGAAGAGGGATGAAAGAGAAGCTGGAAATTTAGCATTATATGTGGTCCAATACATGTAAAGTGCTTCCCTTAGTTTTCCTGTGGTGATAAGCTGTTCAGTGCTTGCAATTTAAAGGATGCCTTTTAATTAATCTGGGAGTTCACTGGGCCTGTGTTTAGTTTGAGATGTACTTTGTTCTTCCACTGAGCTCCTGTTGTTCAATATTTTCAGCCCCCTATGTGCAGACAGCTTCACCTTTGGCCTTAAAGGAGAAGGGCATTTTGTGTCTAGAATCTTAAAATCATAGAATCATTTAGGTTGGAAAAGACCTTTAAGATCATTGAGTCCAACCATTAACCTAGCACTACTAAGTCCACCACTAAACCATGTCCCCACGTCACCATGTCATTTGCCATGTGGTGGTGCCACCAAGTGCGGTGATGCAAACCAGAGATTCCCAGCATTATCTGATCTGCTTGCCAGCCTGTCACATTCCCCTTCAGTGCTACGGAGATGCCTGTTGCTGCAAAAATTGTGTAGGAAACTGCAAAGTGTTGTGAGGATGTTATGATCAGACTGTTACGTGGCAACATTGCATTCACTCACATATAGTCTCAGGAACACGTTGAAGGGTCAAACTAAGGCTAATTTGAAAACAGCCTACTTTAAATAGGCAGGACACCTAACATACATAAATGCTTTTTCACATTAATTGTTTTAGGCATCATCTAAATCAATCGACTAACTGAGCTAAGCCTGTTTCCTATTTATCCAATTTGCCTTTTCAGTCTCTTAACATGCTGTACTACATACTGTCACTGATGCCAAAGTCTCTTAGCTCCCTTTGAACCCTGTAGAGCTCTAGGGTCAAGTGAAGGTAGAATAGGTGCTACAGGAAGGCTACAGGGGATTTCTTGGGATACACCCTGCAGGGCTATTTCAGCTGGCAAACTGAAGCTTGTCGCCAAGGTGTTGTCTTAGCCTTGACCACTTTATATATTCCCTTTCCCCATCACAGTACACTGTTCTTTGTGCCCCGATGTTTGCTGACCCTGATGCTGCTGCAGTTCAGTGGTGCTATATGAGTAGGAATTTAGGAATGTGGGGACAACATATGCTGCTGAATATGAGTGTAAAATATGTTTACACAATGCCTAATTAAAAGTATCACTTAATTAAAGAAAAAAAAAAAGAGGTAGTCTGTACTGGCAAAAGGAAAAAAAACCAAACATTTAACACATATTCAGATCAAAATGTTGACATAGGTTTCATTAGCAAAGGAAAGGCACTAATAAAAAGCTGCAGTCTCGATTGCTTCACAATGAAGCAGGGGCCCAAGAGCAACTATTGCCATGGCAACAAAAGGAGCGAGGGGATTTACACTTCTATATGATTCAGTGCAGTTTTAACCAAGAGTGAGACTGGCTTGAAGGAACAACCCCACTATATTCATTCTTATTCTTTATGAATTGTGTATCTCATCTCACTGCCTCAAAGTTTATATCTTATAGTGATAGGTCGCTGACCACACCTGACAGAAGAGGTTCCTGGACCTGTTAGGAGCCTAATTCTTAGATTATTTACCTAACTTCCTGCTATATAAAATCATAAGGTTGCATAGGTTGCTGATTTTGATTGAAAATATTTATTCAATGCTGTATGCCATAAATTAGGTCCACAACCTATAATACACCGAATTCCTCCTAGTAATGTATTGGAACACTAAATCTGATGTTACTCTAATAGAAGAACATTCCTTCATCTCTATTTTCACTCTGTAAGTATCACTGAAGACTTTTCTTCCATATGCTTATTAATACAATTTCTACCTTAAGCAAATTTTATCTCACAAAAAATACCATGTGTTAATCCTATCTAATAAGCTTCTCCTAAAACGTGTTAAGATCGTCTTGTAGCCATAAGGACATTTTGAGATCCAAATGATGCTGCCCTGATTTGATTTCTTTTTAAAAAAATTACCCTGTTTTCAATAATGGTATTGTCTTTTAACATTTCAGATCACAGTATTTCGCATGGGATCAGAAGGACATCAGGATATTGATTTAGCTATCCTGACAGCATTACTAAAAGGTAATGGAGTTCCACTCCACCGTGAGTCAGTATCAATCCAAATGGATTAACTCTGTGTCTCTGCTGTGCTGAAACCTGCATTTATTGACAATATCTACCGCATCGAGATGGTAAATTTATACCGTGAAATTAAAGTATACTTTTTGCTCTATCTGGTTTATACAAATTCAGCTCTTTCTTTAATGTTTAAATAGCTACTGGTTTTCTTTTCTGAATTTTTATTCTCCATCGACAATCACTAATGCATCACAGGAAACATCAGTGGTGATCCCCCACCAGTTACCTGAGAAGATTAGTACTCAACAGGCAGATAGCCAAAGAACTACTCAGACTTAGATTGCCTTGGTGGCTAGTAGAACATCCAGAAGGAGGTTATCACCCTTTAGATAAAAGTGGCACTATTATCAAAGCAAAATGTTATCTGTAGTCATCCCAGGAAAGTCTGGAGACTGTGTAGGATTCCTTCCAGCCTCCACTGGTACAGCTAAGAACTCAGCTATTGGGGTGGTAGGGGTTTTAATCTTAAACTTCGTAGGCTGCTAAATCTTTCTAAGCCATTACACGTTACACTTATGCTCTTAAAAGATTGCCTTACAATAAATATGCTGTTGCTACAGTTCATTATAAACCCCGGTCTTGCAGACACTGACACCATTTAGCTTGGCTATCTTCAAAATATGGTATTATAAGGTAATTTAATATCTGCTTGCAAATATAGAAACAGGTGAGATTTTAAAGGCTCTGAAGCTCATGTACTTATTCGGTGAAGGATTATTCTCCTGAGCAAGGACTGGGAGGTTCTAGTCCTCCATTTATATGCTATTTCCCCAGATGGGATTTCCCCAATTTGCATGTATCAATCACCGTGGTCATCTTGTTGCTGTCTGGACTGTTTTGTGCTATGTAGTACAGGCCATACTGATTTTAAAAACAGAATAAAACATACCAAACAATTCCAAATAGCAATCTGAGAAACATTAGGGAATGGACTTCCAAAGGTGACTAGGGAAAGTTATGCTTCATGAGGCTGTTTAGCAGTTGTCATCATGCCATTGCCACCCCCACACCCGAGTAAGAGGGTACATAATGCCATATGGCATACCTGAATTTGAGTCATAACAAAACATGTAATACATGTACTAGGTATTCAAAAGATAATGGGAATTATTCTTGCTTGTTCCAGGGCCCAGTTTTCTTCTCAGTTTCTTCCTGTACAGACTCACAAAAGCTGCATGAAGAGAAAAGGTAGAATGCCTGAGTAACTTTCACCTAACCAAACAAAATAGTGTTTTACCTTTTACACAATTACTGATCCCATTTCAAAAATGTTAGTTCAAACATTTAAAACAAAAGAAGGAGGACAGGAGGAGTAAACAAGCACTGGCCACTTGAAAAGTATGATTACAACCTGACAGCTACCAGCCAAGGAGATGAGCTGGAATTATTTTGCTCCAGTAGCTTTTGTTTCTTAAGGCTTCTGTAGTATTGCTTTCTCCACTTCTTTTGCTCATTTTGATCAAGATACCAGTTGTTTGTCCTTCAGGTGACATGACTATTTTGCCGCTACCCTGAGGTAACAAGTTTTAGCCATCTGCATAATTAAATCACAAGACATTTGGGACGTCTTCACAGAGAAGCAATATAAATCAAGGAGAAGAAAGCAAAAAGAAACTAATTCAAAACAAGGAACAAGAATTATATCCATCACCAAATTCCTCTTTTCTTTTTTTCTCTATTTTAATTGCAGATTTCATTTTTATCTTAAGTATAACTGGATCCTACATTGTCCTTACTGTAAAGTGTATTCTCTTCACATTTGTACTGAAACTACGGCTTTTGATTTCTATTAGTAAGATATAGATTGTCTTAAAGTTGTGATTCCACTTTTTGTAGATACACTTTTGAGGTCTGAATCCCAACATAGATCCCTGAAGTCTTTTACCACCTTGAAAGCTGCCTCTTAGAAGCTGACAAAAATAAATCATAGGCCTGGGAGGGACTGTTTTCTGTTTGAAAAGTTCTTTTGCAGTATTTACATGAGCAATTGTGCTATGGTTGCAGTCCGGGCATATGAGTAGTCCTCTCTGACCTGGAATATCCATTTTGCAGGTGCCTAATTGGTCCTGTCATCTCCTTAGTAAACTAAAATTACCTTCTTTCTTCATAAAAGTAGCACAAGACTTCTGCACTACTAGTGAACTTCTGTTAGCTCAGAAGGTGCCTGGATCTGTGTAATTTTGACATCTCCTTTCGTGCTTGCCTGACAGTCTTGACTTGGTAATCAAGCAGGACTTCTGTCTTGATCAAGAGACAGGGGAACTAAAACTTACACCTCACCTTCCCTGCTCCTCAGAACTTTCTGATTATGAAGGTACTCTGAAAAGGCGGCAGAGAAAAGTATGGAACCGGTGAGTGATTATTAATTACTTTTCTCAGTCTCGCTGATGAGGATTTTGCAGTTCTTGCTAGCCAGTATTCAAGGTGTATACCAGCTAAATACAAATCCCACCCTGGTGTGAGTGATTTGTTCAGAAAGTAGGAGGAGGACAAGGACTGGGAAACACCAAGTATCATTTCCTGCTCGTTGTGTAAAATTTGCAATGACCTAATCTCTTTTTAAACCCACATTAGGCACACTGTCAATACAGGAACTCTCTTGGACAGGATATTCCACAAGCCCCAAACCCTGCACTGAATATGAGATTATTTCCTTGTTTGTTTTCATGAGTCACTTGTTTACTCTTGTCAGCAGATCTATCTTTCTTGGAAGTGATCTCCAATAAACTAGGGAATGGCATCCAATCTGGTTATCAATTTACATTGCATGGATGTCACAACAGCATATGGCTTGTGAATTCCTTCTGGTTTGTATTTTTTTTCATTTCAAGAGACATGCAAATGTGGGAAGTAAGTTTCCAATTGCGTGAATTTGTAGCAAGTAAATTTATTGATACAGCTTAACTGTTTGCGCTCTCTTAACTTGAACAGTTGGAACTCAAATAGTAATGGATTTTGTCCTTTTGCAGCTGCTAATTGAGCAGAAGGCATATGACAGGGAAGTTAAAGGCAGCATATGGAGATGTTCTAAAATGTAATTGTTTTGAAATGTCATCAAAGATCCTAGTTCACGAAGCTGTTGCAGTGTCTGGAGCATACTAGCAGCACCAGCCATGTTTCAGCTGATGCTCCAGAAGCCTTCCCAGTGCGATTGTTAGCATTGGGAAATACGTGCTGTGTGGTGCATGCACACAGTAATATTACTGCCATGTAGCCCTCTGAGATAAGCCATGTTAGGCTAATGCAGATCAGATGTCTCTGCATACTTTCGAGCCTGTGAATAAGTCACGATTCATGCTCACTGAACAGCTATCATGTAGTATCAGATGGTCCTGGAAGACAGCGTGATGCCAACCATGAAATCACCGACACAGAGTTGGGCCAGATATCTGGTTATTGCCCTTATAGATGTTGTTGCTATCACCTTTGTTATTGTCAATTGATTTGCTAAATGCCAGGAAGATGCTTGTAACAAATGCAGTGGAAACACCACCTTTTCACCAAAGAGCTGCTGAAACGGAAGACAACATAAGACCTGCCGAGATGCAAAGCAGAAAGTCAATTTGGGTTGCTACTTTCCCTAATCTAATTCTTGTCCTTAGATGATGATTCAAAGAGGACGCTGGCATGTTTAGAAGCACTATGGAAATGAGTCTCCAACAATCATTTCTGTCTAGATAGATGAGTTTTGTGACATATCAGTTTTCCAGATTCCTGAGCTCTAAGTATCATAGACTATCCCAGCAGAATCTGTTAGAGGTTTACATTGAGCACAGTAAACTTTAGCCAGTATATAAAAGACTGTAGCATATCTTTTCAGTAATGTGGGATCCTGCAAAGACACTGTACCCTGGCTCACCCAGGATACAGAGTCAAGTTTATGGTCCCAGACTTTATCATCAAGGAGTATTGTATTTTTGGTCAAAGATATTGGATAGACCATCTGACTTTTTACCAGAAGAATCTATGCAAGATATCCAAGCACTCCTGGATGGACCCCTAAGAGCATAAAGTTAACAACTGCAGGAACTAACAGCTGTCCCAGATCTCCTTCTTGTTCACTCAACTTTGCATCATCCTTGCATTGTCTGTCTATATCCCACAATATCTATACTGAAATAAAATACTGACAAATCAATGCATTGCATCCCAAATGCATCTTTTCTTCTAGGAGCAGATGAAAGGAGGGAAGAGTCCCACTGCAGACATTAGTCATGTTGTCTTAAAACATTCTTTTGAGGAACACATCTTATGCTCAGCCAGACACCAGGATAATGAGTAAATACTACATAGACATTAGTCATATTGCCTAAAATATTATTTAAAGCAGTAAGTATACTACGGTAATTAATATGCTACAGTGCAACTAAGCAGAGAATCCTGACATGAAACAGGATAAAACCAGAAAGGTAGGGAGGGGAAATGCTAATTCCTCACCACTGGCAGTGTTAAGGGCCTAAGAAGTGGTTCCACTGTGATCCCTACATTGAGTTGATGAGAGCAGTAGATTATTAACTCTACCTTATTTTTTGATTTCCCAAATATCCTTTGGCTTTGATTTGGGTACATTGCAGTGATGCTCATGAGTGAGATGAGTTCTCAGAGAGGTCACTTTTTAGATTCTTCTTACTGACTCAAATCCATGCTCCCACACTGAATGCAATCAAGAAAATGATTGAAAGGAGACAGTATCTTAAAAAAGCCCACCTCGCATTTGTTCTAGGGAGTTTTTCTTATATTAGTGGAATTATTTTTACTTCTTAATAACGGATAGAATTCCACCTCAAATAGCCTGAATACTTCCTTTTTCATTTGAGTCAAAAGTCACCAGTCTATCCTGGAATAAAATTGATTAAACATAATCTGCAGCCCGTATGCTGCTCTGTACAAACTTCTATAGCTTTTATATTCTTTCTCCTCTTATGTAACACCAGTGTAATCCACATTCACCTGAAAACCACATAGGCAAGACAGGAAAGAGGAGAAGGGTGCACAGACTTTCCAGCAACAAACCTCACTCTGGGAGCAGTCAACCCTCCACGTGCATCAGACCCTCAGCATATAGACCTGTAGAACCCAGTCTATGCCCCAGCTGATGGACTGGTTTGTACCCTAAGTACCAAAACCCCTTGAGAAACCATACATTTCCTTCAACTGCCAAATGTCTGCAGCACTCTGCGACACAGTGAAAGGAACCGTTACGGTAATAAGCCCTGAGAAGAGCATCATCTCTGGGATTGCACATGCACTCACAGGAAAACCCATCCACTGCTGGCAGCCTTAATCACCATCGAGGGAGGTGGAAAGGACTGAGGCTGGACTCCGGCTTGCTTTTCCCTCTGCTCGATATTTGGAGCAACAAGCATGCTCAAAGAAAACAATTCTGATTAACTGCTGGGCTTGGGGGCCTTTCTGGAGATGCAGCCACCGCTTCATGCCCCACGACAGTTGCTCTTTCACATGATCGGATGCACCAGAAGGCCCTGTGTTCATCCAGCAGCCGGGTCCTTCCTAAAGCACGCAAAGGCCCAGGAATGCTACGTCACCTGACACAAACTGGGGAAGGCTCCCTGCAGGGGTCAGAAGGTGTTCACCTGAAGCCTCTATGATCTGGCTTGAATTTTGGCTGAAGTGCGGGCAATGTAAGTAGCCCACTTCCTTCCCCAAGCCCATCTGATCTGCTCCCGATCCAAAATGGTTTCTAACCAGGCTGCACCCCTGGCTACACAGACCATAGGCTGAAGTCAGTTTAGGACAATCAGGAGGTGAAGCTCCCCCATCACATGTACAAAATGGTGCCAGGCTGCGGGACCACCATCACTGCCCCTGGGTTTTGGAGTTCATCCATGTGCCTCCTCCACCGCTCACCAGACAGCTTGCCTGAGCACCTGCCAAAGCTTTTGCTTCTCCTGCAGGCACATGGATGGGAAGAAGGAGATCCAATGACATTTTGAGAGGATCTGTTTTTTGCTTCAGAACGGGGGAGAACATTATTTGCTCTCTGTACTTAATTTACACTACCATACCCTATGTGGGTAATTTTTTTTCTGTTTTTATAAATAAAACTGTAGAGACATTTTTGTTCTTCCCAAAGATAAATATTTTCTGTACTTGAATTTTGCATGTTGCTTGTGTAAGAAACTCAGAAAGGTTCAGATGTAGTTGGCATCCCCATGAGGTCTCTTGTGAGAGCCTTTGTCTGTGTCATAGTACATAGCAATGAGAAGCTGTGTCTTATGCAAAAGGGTGTTCCTGTTATTTCTTAGTGACAGAAAGGTCTTTTACTGTTTCCACTGTTTTTTCTTCTTATCTTCATTTCTTTCTACCATCCTGGTCCTGCACCACCTACCTTTCTACAAGAGCTCATTTCTGTAATAAAATTAAAGTGATCTGGATGATCTACAGTCCACCTTCTCCCAAATAATTGCTGTAGATGTTGCCAAGTATTTAGTAAACCATGGCAAAGTTGACAGTTATGAAATTAAACTGTAGGCTCAGCGTCCCGAAGGTCTGTTGAACTGATCCTTCACAGAAAATTTCAGTGGCCAGCATGTTACACTTTATGTTTTCTGTGCCTCCAATTTCAGAGTCCACTTTCAGCTGGAACAGTGCATGATTTTGAATAGTGCTGAAATGGGGACAGAAATGCTTTGAAGTAGTGAAAAGCTCTTGTTTGTCCTCACTCCGTGATATCAGTATAAGAATGAATAAAGACAAGAAAACAGTGGAGTTGTGAGGCCTTTAAAAAATGAGCCTTTATACAATCACCTAATCGCTGCAAGCTGCTATGTAGATAAAAGTCGAAGGGCCCTTTATTTATTTGGTTGATCAGTTCATTCGGGCCAGTTCTCCCTGTGACACTGAAGCACAAATACTGTTTTGTTATTACAAATCAGCTAATAACCATGAAATCCTTAGTGAAATATTAAAAAAGCACAGCAGGGCAGGAATGTCCCACAGCGTCCATTAAAACTACAGGGAAAAACATACCTTCCTTTCCAAAAAACAAACAGCTCCAAACCCATCTTATCGTCTGCATTGTTTCTTATTGAATTTGGACATACCTTGACACCAGCTTTATAGCATGCTTTCATGAATACTGCATATATGAAGGGATATTTGTCCCACCGAGGCCCCTCAGCACAAATAGATAGAGGAGGAATTCCTATGCTTGTATGAGATCCCCAACTTATCAGGTGGGAATGCATAGAAGATATGCATAAAACGCATGACTATTGAAATTGGTGGGGTCTGTGTGAGCTGAGCCTGTTTGTAATTGCAAGACACACATGTGTGTGTATCTGTGCGCTCATGTGCATATGGGGGTGTGTGTACATATTCCTGCAGCCGGATCGGTATGCCTCCTGGGTTCTGCTCTGGCTCCCCGTCCAAGAGGAGGGAAACCAGTTCACTCCACTGCAAGTTGCATCTGCCTCTATCGCATGTCCCTACTGTATTTTTCAAGGGGGATGTGAGGAAATAATTAATGTTCATGAGAAAATCTGAGAACCATAGATTCAGATTTGAGAACCAGTACTTTATTACAGAGACAATGGAAGGTTTGGTTTTGTTTTAATGTGAGATCAGTTGCAGAAATTACATGGACATCTGTGAGACTTTTGACAAAGAGGAATGACAATGGTGGTCTGTTGACTGTGTCTAACGTATGGCTTGTTTCTTTTTTCTCCTCCTCTCCTCCCTGCACCCCTGTCTGTATACACAGGAGCTAACGCATCTGCTCCCGACCAGCTGAGCCTTGCATTAGCCTGGAACAGAGTAGACATCGCCCGCAGTCAGATCTTTATTTATGGGCAACAGTGGCCGGTACAGTATACATACAGCATCTCTTACTGAAAACACTTTAAACCCTACACAACATTAAATCCATTCTGTTGGCAGTGGTGGTTTTAACACAGTCTAAAATATACTGAGTCATGCTTCCAGACAAGCTCAAAGTTTCCATTCACAGCTACTGATGGCAGGCACGGTTACAAATGTAGTAGGTTTGCTTGTTCAAGGAAATGGTGACATCTAGCGATGCCTTAACACTGAGAGACCACACCTTTAAAGAAACAGGAAGCAAGACATTTACACTATCAAGCAATGATTCTGCCAGCTGACAAAAACAAGGGTCTGTTTACAGCCGTGCTGCAATGTCAGGCTATACGTTAAAGGAAAGGCAAAACTTCCTTTTGCTCTTCAAGCAGTACGCTTTTATATACAATACTGAATTGGATGATGATCAGAGATCAAAAATGTCGCTGCACAAATGTTGGAGGTCATCACATGGACCATGAGAGCTTATCAGCAATGTTACCACAGAAGTGCTGTGGCTCCAAACTTGGGCTGGTGTTAGTTTGGTGCCCGGTGCTGCTGTGCATCAGTCTGCCTGCTTCTTGTCTGCCCCATCCTATGATCCAGCTGCCAGCTGTGGGGACTGGCTCCCCGGCCAACACTGTTCCACTATGCAGAGCTTCTCTGAAGGAGCGGGAGGGTTGTGAATAGAGGGGTTATTGAACACTGTGTGGGGCAGAGGAAGTCCCCCAGCAAAAAAAAAAAAAAAAAAACACAGAAGGACTCTGTCTCTACCTGTAGCTCCTTAAATCCCACCATATCTTCATTCAGAAGGTTTAACTGGATCACAATGTTCATTACTGTGACACTTGTTTTGTCACCATCATGAAAATTTCATATGCTATCATTACATGAGCATTTACATCTCCCAATGGAAAAATTATAACAAAAGGGAAAGCTTCTGTTTAAATATCCTTGCTGTAAACGCAGTTTCTGGAGCTTGCTGCCCCTTAAAGCTAGCTTCAAATATCCTTGCCTTTTCAGTCATGAAGTGAACAGGACTACTTATCTTGTCCTCAATATTGGGCATAAGTATGCATCAAAACATAGGAGCGACTTTAATGGTACTAAAGTGTCCTTATCGTTGTTGCTCCATCACCACATCATAGCAAAAATTTGCATAAATCCTGCAAGCTGCAATCATTTTGCAGGCTAGAAGCTGGAACTATGAGATAATTTGTCATCCTTCTAACTCCCCCCAACCTGCAAGAGATAGAAAAGGAGAGGCTTTGCATAAGAGGACCTCATGCATTTGTTCCTTGAAAGAAATGCTAATTGTGAAGTTATTTCTGCTCCCTGTTTCCCTGAATTTCCACACCATGAACAGAGGAAAAAGCTAGTAAAGACAGAATTAAAGTGAGAGTGTGTGCACATAATGAATATACCTAATATAAATAAAATGTTTGTTGGGACAGCAAGAAATAAAGATAATACTGAGATGGTGAATAGTATGGAGGTGTGGTCACCAGTTTCCTGGGTTCAAGTTCCTTGGTCCTAGTCTGGATTTCCTAGAGTATGTTAATCTTAACACTCTGACACTCATTTTTGAAATGCTGCCCTGAATCAGAGAAAACAATGTAGACTAAAACTGTGATTATCTATCTCATTTTAAGCTTAGCAGAGCAACCCTCAGAATTTTGTCACGATTCCCTGCTTGTGCCAGGGTGATTGGACCAGCCAGATACAGCCTGTGATGCCCAGGAACAGCCTGAATTAATCGCTTGCTTTGCAGGTGGGCTCCCTTGAGCAAGCAATGCTGGATGCACTGGTGTTGGACAGAGTGGATTTTGTGAAATTACTCATAGAAAATGGAGTAAGCATGCATCGTTTTCTCACCATCTCCCGGCTAGAGGAATTGTACAATACGGTAGGGCCAACCTAAGGCAAATTTTCTATCTCTATATTCATTGTTCTAGCTCCCACTTGTATTACAATGGCATGATGATGCACAAGGCAGCCAACACCTGCTGCAGAAATTTTCCATGTTAGGAGTCCACATTGTCTCTTGGCTTTGTCTCTCATATAACGGAACACGCTGTGTCTTGCCCACCTAATCTGCTGTATGGATTTTGTAAGGCATGGATTAAGCCACACAGAGTACCAGCTGATTTCTGGTCATTGTAATTCCAACACGAGAGACCTGAGATTTAGGCACATGGCACTGGCTGGAAGACAGTAACTGGCGGGTTAGGACCTGTACGATGGTGATATATGACTCCTGATGGTATAAACCCTTATGGTTTCAGAAAAATCTGGCAACTGGTAATCAAATTCAGACACTAGAAAACAAATAGAAGCAAACTTCTTGGCATAATATTCTGAATTTAAAGTTGAAATCTGATGACCTCAGGATGTCTATTACAGTGAAGGATTTCCCTTGTCCTCATGTCCTCACCAAATGTTCCAAAAATGATAGTTTTGACTATAGTTTTTAAAAGCCTGTTTGCAAGTTTTATATCTTTTCCCATAAAATGAACATAAAACTGCACAGGTTCAAACTGCTTCTGAGTTCTCAACTGCAAAACATATTCCAGAATTCACATCATTATTGCCTACCGAAAGAAACCAGTAAGTTCAAATTGTTTAAGTGGTACGGATAAAATCCTAAAGCATTGTCTACTTCTTAGGATTGCTAGTTCTGTCTGTTGGAGATAGGTTGTGATATAGTGCATAGCCCTTTTCAAAAAGTTTTTTTCTGCCAGTACTTTTCAAAGCCCTGCCATGATAAGCTGCTGCCCTGGGCTGCTATCCACAGATGTTTCACACCAATGGTGACCAGAAGTCAGTCTTTCAAAAATATCACATAAGAAAAGAATTCATTAAATTTGTGCGAAATACAGAGGAACAGGTATCTGTGCCACCCTTGAGCCAGATTCCCATCTGATCTTTGATCAGCTTAAACTTTGCCTATCAACCAGCATCTATGTATTAAGGACAGAAAGCCTATGTGCTTTCATGCTACAGAGATAAGAATTGTAGTTCTTGTGCCAAAGTCAGTTTTTACAGGGAGTAAGTTTGAGAAAACTCTTCAGTTCTACAGCTAAAAGAAGGCCTTTTTGAACAAATTTATTGTGAGCTATAGAAATCACCAGAAATTATTTATGCAAGAGTTCCAAAAGACCCAGGCTGTGAAATGCCTAAGGTACCAATTATGACAGATGACCTTGTGCGTCCATAATAGCCTTAGCAGCAAGAATATTACAAGGCCAGTTAAAAAATACCAAATTTCAGCATGACCCCTGAGAGTGACCTGGGAAGCTACAAACCAGGAGGGACTTCTTTACTTTGAGGGTGGCAGAGCACCAGAACAGGCTGCCCAGAGAGGTGGTGGAGTCTCCCACTCTGGAGACATTCAGAACCCACCTGGACAAAGTCCTGTACAGCCTGCTGTAGGTGACCCTGGTCTGACGGGGGGGTTGGACTAGATGATCTCCAGAGGTCCCTTCCAACCCTGACCATTCTGTGATTCTGTGAAACCAGTGAATCTGACTTCTGCCATGGCAAATTTCTAAAAGTATAATAAAGAACAAAATTAATAGACAAATGGATCAATTTTATGTCAAGAAAGCGTTTATCTGTTTTCTGTACAAAAATGTTAAGCCTTAGAAATTTATTACCATTTCTGAATTCAACATGCAGGGGAATAAGGATGTTGCACTTGATAACCTATTTTTGCAAAACCTGTTTGACAGTATTTGAAAACCTCAAAGGTTATCAAAGAAATTCAGCTGTCATGACATAGAAGATAACTGGCACATGTGGTTTAAAAACTACTTGAAGGATAGAAAAGAGAGAGTAGGAATACATAGTCTGTTCTCACCACAAAAGGACATTATGACCAGGGTCATCCAAGACCCTGTACTGGGACCACTGCTGTACAGCCTGTTTAGAGATGATCTGAAAAATTACTGAAGAGACAATGTTTGCAGGTGACTTAGCAACATGCAGGGTAGGCAAATGTGAAGCAGCATGTGAAGAATCACAGGAAAGTCTCATCATGCTTAGTGATGGGGTTACATGAAGTTAAGTGTTGGTAAGTGCAGAGTAGTGTATATACAGAAACACTGACTCTGCACATATGCATCTACCATCAGTTACAGTCAAGGAGACCCCAAAAAAAAGTCTTTTAAAATCTCAGCAACAGTCAAAAACATAACAGAGAGGAAAGTACTTCTCCACATAACATATAATTGAAATTGTGGGAGTCTGCTGCACAATTCTTTGCTTGTCAGGTAGAGTCAAAATCGGACAAATTCACAGGCTGTGCATGCTGTCGGTGGCTTTCAGACAAGACACCATAGTTGCAATGTCAGGCTCAGGGGCTCTCTGGGCCTCCAGCAGTGGAAGTGGAGATCCTGAGCGAAGGAAAGCTGACACGTAAGCAGCTGATTTTCCTTCCACTGTGTCCCAGAGGCCGTGCATGTTGTGCTGGGCTCCTGCTTTGTCTAAACCAGGAGCCTAATCTGATATATAGGACTTTAGTTTTCATCCAGTATGGCCATTCTTGTGGTTCTCTTACTGAAGAGGTTTGTACAAAAGAGAAGTCAGGTGAAATAATGCTCTTGTAAGTGATTTTTTTTTTTTTTTTTTTTTTACTTGATAACACTGTACAATTGAAGTGCTCTGAGTTGCCTGATTTTTAAACTACTAAGGTGAGAAAGCCATTTCAGCATTTACAACTTGCAGGTCTTGGGACAATGCAAAACTATTTTATTCCTATTTATTTGTCCTTTGCAGAGACATGGACCATCGAACACTTTGTATCATCTAGTCAGGGATGTCAAAAAGGTAAGAGTCCGATAGACGGTAGGTTGGGCATAATGCTATGATTGCTTTTTGTAGCTAGATACAATCTCTGTTTTGCATGAGCTTTCAGTCAGAGCCTTCTCCCACCCCTGCCGTTACAAAATGTCCTGTTTGTATGTACCGAACATGAAATTTTGCATACAAAGCACAATTAGCAAGTTATTTGGCTTGCTTCCTCTGTGGTTTTAGATGCTTGGGTAATAGTGCTTCTGCTAGCATAATTGTAGGCTCCTACATACTGTGTGGATTTATGCTGTTATCTGTATTTTTCCATACCTGCAACTATTGTCAAAGCTAATTTCCATGTTGTTAGTTTACTTCCGAGCCTGTAAAATAGCCCTTATCCGTGTGCTGGATCCTAACCTGTTGAATCAGTTCCTTGTTCTGTGTTGTGTGGTATATTGTAGCCATCTTCCTCACCAGAAATATACAAAAAGAAGTAGTGCAACTTTCCCCTGCCCCTTTATCAAGTTAATTTCAAGCATCTTGAATTATAAATAGCCATTAGGACGGCAGGATAGAAACACAGAAGGGTATAGTGACAGGAAGGAGATACCAAATACCTTTAGCAGTGTGTTCAGGATTAAAAGTGTTACAGCAGCAGCAATGAATGAAAATCTGTTATCCTCTAAATATATGGATCAAGCAAGGAGATTGACTCTGCAACTGACCTCATTAGTTTGCATATTCTCCCAAAGCATGTGCAGATTACAACCTTGCACATTACGTAAGTCAGACCTCAAGGGTAGCATACTTGAGAAAGGAGATTTCTAAACATGGGACTAGATAGAAGATTGAAAAAGGAATTGAGATTTTTTGTAAGAGCACAGGTTTTGGTGATTTCTTCGGTCACTGACAACTGAGCAGAACCAAAGGCAGCTGGGGGAGGGGAGCGGCATGCTTCATATATCATCTTTCTGTTAAATAATGCTACAGAGTAATCAGTAGTTATGTTTAGGGAGGTTCTGGTGGTTTTCTTTTGTTAGTGTGTTACATGGCATCATCATTGTTCAATTATATATAGTATACGAAGTGACCATCCAAAAGTGTGAAATTTCTAAAGAAGAAACTGAAACTGTTCTTATGCACAAATCCCCTTGGATGGAATAGAGTAAAGCTAGAATGTATTCAGCCTGGATACTTCTCTTTAAGCCCAATTATTTTTTTTACTAAATATGCAGTTATTTATATGCCTATAAGAGTTAGAAACAAGCATCATTTGTCCTCTTACTTTAAAATATATTCCTTTTCAAACTCCTTCTCTCACCCAGCATCACTTTTCCAAGTCCTTCAAAGGCACAGCAATTTGTGTGTTGAGAGACTAAATAACATCTTTTTCTGAGTCCCCAACAAAAGGTGTATTTTTAAAGGAACTCTTGAAAAAAAAAAAAAGCATGAAAATAGGCAAAGATGATCGGTACTCATAGGTATATATTGATAGACCTTGTCATTAAGTAAACTTACACTGTATTTACTGACATTATTTTTTCCATGGTGATTGCTAAAGGCTAGGTGATGGTCAGTTTTCCATAAATTCATCTTTGTTTCCTCTGTCCATATCCAAAGTCTCCAGTAATTCCCACTACATGAAGTCAATATTTACTCTTATTAGAATATAGATAAGGGCTTTAAAAACAAACGACCTGGTGCAGCCCTCTAGCACCTTCATCAGAAAACTGTGCCTCTGGGGCTGTATTTCTCATTTTGTCAGTGATGAGGAACAACTGCGGTTCACTCAGAGAAAAGTGACAGCTCACCGTGGCTCTGCCATCTGAGCAGATCCCTTACCAGGCAACCAAGCTGTAAATCAGTCAGCAGATATGACAACAATTTAAATGAAAACACCTCCTTGGAAATAACTTCCTAATGGACATCACTATGTGACAGTTAAGTGGCCCACTGTGCATGAAAACCAGACCACACTGCTGATGCTAGTTTTTTGAGTTTATATCTGTTTTGTTGCCAAATATCTAGCCTCTCAGATTTAATTACAGTATCATAAAACATAAATACAAAAAATGTAGTATGTCACCTTGAGACAATGCTTAAAGGATATGCCTACTCTGTGCTTTTTATGCATACATCCCAATTTTAAAACCTGCTGTATTTAAAAGGGTGTACGCACTAAAAAGTTATTTACACCTACCTCATTGTGAATTCTCAAATAGAAAATGGATGCTTACAAATCACAGAAGCATTATTTAATTTACTACTGTCGTATTACATAGCTGTCAGTTGTTAATGACAACTGCGCTCAGCTCTCTCTTTGATCCTCTCAATTCCATAACTACATACGTGGACAAATCTGCATGCACCGTTTCCATCATGGCCTTTTTCCCATGTCCTCTCAGGGGTACAGAAGTTACCATACAGGGTTGACTTCCTTCCCTTGGCCTTACAAACCGATGCATCCAGGCTAAGCTTTTAAGAGTGGCCGCGCTTGACACCCTGTCTGTAAGTGAAGGTAGCCCCCTGCAGGCTGTTTCTAAAAAATCCTTTGCTGGCTCAACTAGCTAATGAAGATAGTAGAAATTAACAGATTTTTTTTTTTTTTTAATTTAATCAAAAAATTGTATATAAACAATATATCTTACTCCCACTCTGGGGTGATACAGGTTTTCAAAGTTTTTTATTTTGGACTGTCGCTGTATGTCTACATTTCCAGAGAACTAACAAGCAACGTACAGAGTTTTGAAAGTTGGGGTTTTTTTACTCAGCATGCAAAATCAGAGACTTGGTACCTGCTAAACACAGAAATGCACTTGAAGTAAAAAAATACTATAATTGATTAGCTACAGTTTAAAATTTAAGTTTCTTCAGGAAAAGAATAACGCATTAACACTAAAGAGCTTGTCCCAGCATTTAAAGTTTAATTGATTATTGACTGGGGTACCTATCATACCTGAAAATCAAACCTTCTCCTCCGTCATTCCTGAACACTTCGGCTGTGCTAGGATTGGCCCTTCCAAGTTTTTGCTGTTATTGGGGGCGTTCTGACCCACTTGCACCGCTGTACTTCATTTACAAGCAGACTCACTGCTGCGAAGGTTGTTCAAGGTGGCTGCTGATACGGTAAATGCTTTGGCACATGCATAACTCGTTTCAGAAGGATGGCCCAATTGGCTTTACTGCTTACTTTGGAAAAGTAATTGTGTGTTAGCATGGGGCCATACATATGTGTGTGTCTACAAAATGTGTATTTCTGCTGTGAATATGTGAGTTTTCTTTGGTAAAGTGTTTCAAAATTATCTGGGAGGCTTAGATGCATCTTTTGTTAATGTTACAGTATGGGAAATTTTTTATCTAAATCCCTTTATGAAATTTTAGCAACCAGAAGAGCTACATCAAGAATCTCATGCTTTCTAACACATGCAGCACACTGAAGCCAGTTGTGCTTTCTTGATTGCTCAAGTATTTTTTGCCCCTTAATAACATCAAAGCATTCAGTTTTAGTGTCTTACGTTAAGACAGCAGGAGTCTGCTGAAGAACTACAACTCTGTCTTGGAGCTACACTCCCACGTCTGCCAGTGCCTTCATCCTTATTCTAGTAAAACTGTCATTGTCTTAGCCATTCTGGAGAGAGAACAACATTTGGGGGAAACAAACAAACAAATAAACAGAACTAGTAGGATTTAAATTTTAGATTTACGGGATCAAATATACTAGGATAATATGTAGACCTGCAAACCACAGTGATTCCCCCACCCATCAGATTAATCAAGAGCTGGAAGAGTGCAAAACGATATGCTAAGGGACAGTACTGAAAGATAGTTGGCAGATCACCTTTTGCCACTAAATTTGTTTGATCTTCTGTCCCTTTGAATCCCAGCCCATTGCTAGGCATGGTATACCACAGCACTACCTCCCTCTCTCCCTCTCTCCTTCCTCAGCCTTTCAGCATGCTGTATGTACTGTGGTGGGCAGGGAGGGAAACAAGCATTGCTCTTCCTGCCTGAAGGAGAAGAGGAAGGAGGACTTTTGCATCCATGTCATCTCTTCTGCAGAACTAGTTGCCATCTGCTCACCATTAGTCTTTCCCTGCTCTGAATGCAATAAGAGAAGCCAGGCAGATATCTGCAGACATGCAGACATTTCCAGCAAGACACGGCAGTCATAAAGTTGCTCCGTGCGAATTACTAACCTTCTTTTGATGATCGCCTAAAAAGAGCTACAGGCTAACTGTAATCCGTGCTGTATATCATTAGAGAAAATGTGATTATTTTATTACAGTGCACTGAAAAACTTCGAAGCTAACAATTACAATTTCCTTCTGCAATGTTGTCTATACAAGTTCATTTTTTACTAGAGTGGTTTTCTCTTTTTCCAAGGCTACCACTCGCAGTTCACAGAAGGATAATTTACCTCTCTTTCCACCTTTAATTTGTAGTCACAGCTCTTGCACAGTGACATACAGGACAGAGAGCTGTAAATCTGTAGGGTTCTTAACGAGATCTCTAGATCTGGGTGACCTATTCGCAATTTGCTGAATCATGCCTTCTTTTCTGGTAGGGAACTCCTCGCTGAACCAGAAACTGTCATCTCAACAATTCAGAGGCAGTGATTTAGAGAAGGAGACAAACTTTCAATTTGGGGGCATTCCTTTCCCATTAGCCCTTTCCTCCAGCAAAGGTATTGGAGATTTCCTTGTGCAGTTCCCAGAGGTGAAGAGAAAAGCAGATGTGCCCACACTGGGGTCTTGTTCTTCCATTGCCAGAGGCCCCCAAGAGTGCTTCACCAGCACATCTGGGACCAGCCCACCCCGAAATTGTTCTGGCCTGTTAGGTGTTGCATAAGGCTTCCTGCTACTGGAGAACAGAAAAGCACAGTTAACTCAAAGGCAGACTTAGATTCCTATGCAGTAAGAGAGAATCTTTTACTGAAGTCTTTCTTCATAGCTTTGCACGCCATAAGTATTGGAGAACTCACAACCTTAGTGTTGCCATTCACAGACTTGACAGTGAAGAGAAGGAAGATATGTGTAAGGGACTTCACAAAGTGAGGGGAATAAGACGTGGGCATATTTATCATTCTTTTTCCCCTCAAAATAAAAAAGGCATGCTGAAGACATTGCGCATACATATTATATTTAACAAAGCATAAGAAAGGAAAAGGAACATAAAGGCAAGTAGGTAGACATCTTTTCCAGGACCCTACTAATGACCTTTGCTACAAGCACAGTTCACGTCTTGGGAGACAATCTCCCTGGCACAGCTGGAAATTAGGTAGCAAGATACTATGCTTAGAGGGGCTTTCAGTAAAATATGTTGGGAGTTCAAAGAGGGACCATCTAGGAAAATTGCTAGGCCTGTAGTTTTCTTCTTGAGCAAAACACCAAAGAATTAGCCACAGATATTTTGTTCATTACAACTTTCGTGCTTACTTTTGTACATATAGATGTTTTCCTCACACTAGGTGTGGAATTTAAGCAATGATAGGTGTGTCTTTGTTCATAACCCCAAGAGTAAATGCTAACAGACTGTCCTTACCTCTAGCAACTAGCAATAATAATAACTCCTGTGCTGTGTAAGTCCTCTGGAGTAGATAACACAGCTCTTTCCCCCCTGCCTTTCCTTTCCTGGAACATGGGAAGGAAACACCGCAGGATGGAAGATCACACACAGGATCTGGTTCCACGTGAACAAATGATATCGCATGATGTCACTTCACCATGCCTTGGCAGTGCAGGTGAGGCAGTCCAAAGAGATGCCAGCAGAGATGTAATATGCCAGGACAAGTGTTGTGGGGGACAGATGGTGCAGAAAAGGTGCTATCTTGCAGGACTAGAGTCCAGCAACTGTGCCTGATCTTTCAAGTGTGCTGATCCTCGTGCTTTTTGTTCTGCAGTCATGTTCCTTGTTTCCCCAGCTGAAGACTATGAGTACTGTGTACTGACGTTATCTTCTGTTACTTCCAACAAGTTCTTCACCTTCTTATTTAACTTATGTCTTCTTTCCAAGCGAGAATATCCAGGTTTCGGTTGGATCTATTTTAAGGTGAATTAATTAACCAGCATAATAATATATTCCTGTTTTTAACTATTTAATTTGTTTTATTCTAAGATCATTATAAAGTGTATTTAACAGCGCCAGTAATAAGCATTTCTTCCTCCCCCCCATCCTTCTTATTTTCATTGCAGGGAAACTTACCCCCTGATTATCGGATAAGTCTGATTGATATTGGTTTGGTGATGTACCACAATTTATTTGGACCCAAGAGGGTAAGGACCAAGTTATTTGCCATCCATATGACTGCAGCCACTGGCAGGGCATAAGAAGACCATAGCTTCTTAGATAGTTCCAAGCTGGGGGGATCCACGTACACACACACTGTTCAGTCTACAGATTCATTCCCATTGTGTACATAGCAGCTATTTCACCACAACACACCGCAAGCCAGCCACGGATGCAAGCTCCATTTTTTATGAATTTAATGAAAAAATTATTGGGTTCTGCTGATCTGGTGAGACCAGGACATAAAACAGTCTCCTCTGTCTCTAAAATCTGTAATTATGAGTAACCACAGCTTTTGAAAGACAAGTATTTGACCCGTACCAATAACACCATAGGGCACCTGAGTTAGACTTGAAAAAACTTGTGTTTTGACAAATGCATTTCCTATCTCATGGCTCGTCTTCTTGATTGTGGCCTGAAGGTATCAGAGCAAAAAAACCCGCAACTCAGAGTTGGCTTTATTGGCTGGATATGGCTCCAGTGGAGTCAGTGGGCCCATGGCAAAAATACTGTTCAGTATTTTTGTGGTTTTCATGTTTGATAGATTAGAATTCTGTGAATCCAAAGTAAGTTTACTACCTTTCTAAAACAAAAAAAGGTATTAATGGTCATCCATAATGCCACTGACCCAATCCAGCATAAAGAAAAATCTGCTCAACTGCTCCCAGCAAGATTTGTAGTTCTTTCTTTGCCTGTTTTTACCTGACATTTTCATTTCCTGTCTCAGTTTAGATTTTGGTGATACCTACCATTGAATATTGCTCTAAGTGGCTACAAAGAGCAACAGCTCTGTGAAATGGTTACAGCCAAACAGCTGAAATTGGGTTGTTTGTTCCCCTACACTTGCACTTTTCACTTCTGAGAGGAAAGGTAGCAATTATAGCTGCTGGGAGTAACTTCCCTCCCTTAGTCACTCCATCAAGGGAAGTGTTTGAGTAGTGATTTCACAGATACTGAACCAACTTACAGAGCAGCTCCACAGCAGTCAGTAAAAGCGTACCAGGGGAATGGCAAAAATACTCATGTACTCCAGAGAAATCCATTCATGCCTCAGCAGTAATTCCTATCTGCTTTCCACTAGAATAGCCCCAAACAAGCTGTAATTTATACCTGAATCCAAATGTATGTCTTCTGTTGTGTGTTTTGGTGAAATAGGGTCAAACTCAAGGTTAAATTAAATATATATGTAATTATTTGATTGATGTATATATAAAAATTATATTACATTATATTGCATATATATTACATATATTATATATTGTCTATTATATACTCTATATTACATGTTATACATCACGTTACACACACGTATGTATGTATGTATGTATACACATATAGTTGTAATTTTCTGTCACACTTCTGGGAGAAATAACATTTTTCTAACTTTTTTGTACAGCCAAAAGCCCTGAAACTGTTGGGAATGGAGGTAGGCAATCTGTGATAAATCTTAATGTCTTTTCCTTCTCTGACAAATATATGCTATATCAAGATATTGTTTAAATTCACTGGAATGAAGGCACCAATAGGTCTTTTCAAGTTTTGTGTAAGAAATGTGCCACACAAATTGTATTTTTCATCCAGATAACTTGTTTACGCAAGAGCCAGATTAAGAAACATTTCTTAATAAAACTCCAGCAGATAGACAAAAGAAGGCTCTGCCCCTTCTACGCATATTTTTCTTTTCATGAAGATTAAGCAAAATGTTTCCGTCTGTCAGGCCAAGCAGAATTTCAAGTCAGATCACTATATAACTTTAAAATGCATTCAGAGAAATGAAGCAGTTGCAGAGAATGATGCAGAAGTCTTCCCATGGACAAAATTTCGATCAGTTTTGTTGATACTTTTGGCTACCTGATGCTTCAAGGAGATAATAGTGTCTTCTTGTTTGTTTATTTTATACAACTTTCATTTTGCTGTCCACAGATGCAGCACTGAATAGGTCAGCTCATCTGATAAAAGCAGTAGGCTTAAATGGGAAAGAAACTAAAGGCAATAGAAACAACAAAGAGCTGGAGAAAGAAGGGATAAACATGGGATACAAAGGCAGAATGGGAGTGAAGAAAGGAGATTCCTACTCTTGTGGGAAGATAAAGGGAGAGAAAACAAGAATAAGTAGGGAGGGAATCTTCAGCAGACCAAACCATCCCCTGGATATGTACTTTCTGGAGGCGGAACCAGGTGGATGCCTTACAACAGATGTTATATTTGGAGTGAACTCTTAGCTTTCTTTTAACGGCAGCTTTTCCAAAAAGGTTTTGGATATTGTGTGATTGTACTCTGTGTTCTTAGGGAAAAAGAACAGTTCAGAGTGGTAGTCCAAAGCTCTTTTTCCCTGTGTGTTGATATGGGGTCACCAAATGCTTAGTTACAGTGCTTGGACCAATACCTTTTTCAACGTTTTCCTGTGTTAAATATTTTGTCCAAAAAAGCTGAAGGGGCTAGCCTGCAGGGAATGTGTTTGACTTCTCAGGTTCTGACTCCAGTGCATTGTGTGAATTGATTCAGTTGCTTCACTGGTGAAAAAAATTTCTCTACAATTCTCACAGGATGATGTCCCTTTGCGGCGAGGGAGGAAAACAACAAAGAAAAGAGAAGAAGAAGTCGATATTGATTTGGATGACCCTGAGATCAATCATTTCCCCTTTCCGTTCCATGAGCTGATGGTGTGGGCTGTGCTGATGAAGCGTCAGAAGATGGCACTCTTCTTTTGGCAGCATGGGGAAGAGGCTATGGCTAAAGCACTGGTGGCCTGTAAACTCTGCAAAGCCATGGCCCACGAAGCATCAGAAAATGACATGGTGGATGACATATCTCAAGAGCTGAACCATAATTCCAGGTGAATTTTCTTTCATGCACACTTCCATGAGTTTAAAAAAAAAAAAAAAAAGGTAGAACCTGCTTGAAATTTGCTTATCTGTACCTTGCTTTCATTTCTAACTAATAGGGAAAATGCAGTCCCTTTAGAGAAAGTCTAAATGGCTTTTATACAATCTGTCTGTCAGAGAAGCAGAGTTGCTAGCAGTATAACTTCTGAAATGAGAAGGTGTCAAGAAGACAATGAAATATCTATATGGTCTATGTGTTCTCCCTGAGGCCTCAAGAGTCAGGTTGCAACATTGCTCTGTGCTTTTTCACGACATTCTGTTCATCCCAAGCAGAACAATTTTTGAAATCCTTATGAACATAATATTCGGGCAGAAGCATTTATTAACCAAGAGCTCATGCTTAGGTGAGCAAGCCAAGGTACTAGATTCTATAACAATTTTCCCTGATGTTAAAAGTCTGAGACACAGAATTTAAAAGGGGTATTGGACACTCCTTTTTCCAGGACACTTGACCACGAAGCCATGGGCAAACAGCACAGAAGCAATCCTGGAATCTGCAGATAACCGGGGGATTTCAGCCTAGAAAACGTCAGGGAGGTGGGCAGGCAAGTGGGAGCAGACAGCTGTTAGGTGTGGGTGCTCATCACTGCTAAGTCGGGGCACTTATTTATATGCCTACCATTAGCCACTCACGTTTGAAAATGTGGGTTTCTGTGTGTGCAGTCAACATCACGATTTGCACGATGGAAAGTGATGCCCCCTTGCAGAGGCTGTCAGTTGCGGAGGGGTGTTTTCTGCAGCAGGCTGCTTGGGCTGATGGGAATGAACGAATGTCCCTCTGTTGCAGGGACTTTGGCCAGTTGGCGGTGGAGCTGTTGGACCAGTCGTACAAGCAGGATGAGCAACTGGCAATGAAACTGCTGACCTACGAGCTGAAGAACTGGAGCAACGCCACATGCCTGCAGCTCGCAGTGGCAGCCAAGCACAGGGACTTCATTGCTCACACTTGCAGCCAAATGTTGCTCACAGACATGTGGATGGGTCGTCTCCGGATGCGCAAAAATTCTGGCCTAAAGGTCAGCACTGATTTAAAATAAAATTAACAGTCAGAGGAGTTCTAATAGATGGTGACGAGGCTTACAACAGATTAGTAATAACTGGCTCAATTAATGGTATTTCAGGTGCTTATTTGTATTGACATTAAGCAGGGTATATTCTTCAGACTTTTAGCAGGAAGCTTATCACAAACCCAGATTCAAAGAACATTACGTAGGTTTTTTTATCATCTTTCTCAAAGCCCCTTCTGGCATCACTGAGAGTTATCAGAATCAGAATTGAGCCAGGAGGTTAGTATGTCACCCTGCCTGGATACGTGAGGAGTTAGCCAAGGTTTTTAAAGATAAATAAAGAAAAAGGATGTGTAAGTGAATTAGCTGCCAGTGAAAGGTGCTGATCCAACAACCTTTCCCAGAACAGGCCAAAGCAAGCGGTACAAATTTTCTTGCGATCCCCTGCCAATCTTCCTGATGACTGACCTGAAGGGACTACCTTAGAGGATCTAGAGGATAATTCGATTTTCAAAGCTGTTTAAGCTTTACTTCTGCGGTTAGTGAAACTGCTAACAGAGCCAGGAGAATTCTAGGAGGTGAATTTTTGTCCACGGGCTGGCGTCTTTCGCCTTTACCAAAGTACTCACCAGTCAGTACGTAACCAGGAATTGCCTCTTCCTCACAGCTTACTGAGAAACATTTTCAGTGAAGAGGTTCTCTCTCCTGCATTAATCACGTGTGTGAAAAGTGGCAATTGCTCAGCTGTTTTGCTGTCTGAAAAGATGTTCGGTAATGGCAAAAACGCTTATGAGTACGTGCACCGTTATTGTAGTGGGTCTAATCCAGTGACAGTGACCAATAAGAATAAGTGGCTGATAGCATTCTCATCCTCCTCCTGCAGGAGCAGTGCCTAAATATTGTTCTGCTTACAAATAGAAAGCATTCTCACATTTGGAGACATCGTTACTACCTATTTTTCTGACTCCACTCACAGGCCCATTGCCCTTCAGAAAGACTGCTGCCCTGTTCACTGCTTGGCTTTGCAAATACTCAACCTGGGTAGAGTGGAATCAGTGCAGCAACTCATTTCCCACTGCATGCTTTTTTCTTTGTAGCGTACATCTCTTATGCCATAAAATAGACCTTTCTTTCACAATGAATAACTAAAGGTAACAGGCTCTGTTTCCTTTCAGCTTCTTGTAACATCAGGGCTTCACAAGGATCGTTTACTCGGTTTCTAGCCTGTGTTCCGTTTCACTGAAGCTCATTAGCAGGGCCTGTTTAAAACTAAAGCAGGCTACAAGCTACATGAGCATGAGGCAGCATGGCAAAGAAATAAATTTGCAAGCATGAGTCATGGATTATTTCCCATGAACAATTTTCTCAAAATTGGCAAATGGCAAGAAGGCTGAATGTAATTCTTTGGAGTCTCACTGGGGATGTATAGCACCAACAGGAGGGGGAGAGGCAACTGTTAATCCTGTCTGTCATTAAAAACAGCCTCTCTGGGGAAACAGGTCTGCCCATAACCCCTCTCCCTAGGCACGCACAGCGTTCCTATATGCTAACTGCTCCTAACTGTGGTACTTTGGATGGTTTCAACAACACACACGCTGTCTGCCACTATGATGAGCACAAGCAGTCGCCCTCCCTGACCTGCCAACAAGCTAGCTATCTGGTTTCACTGTCATTTAGGCAGAGATGTACAACAACATCATTTTCCGTGAAGTTATAGCAAGACCAGGAAAAGCTGTTGTGCTTGTAAATACAGACAGGCCGCTTCTTTTTGTATTGTTATGATACCTCTTCAGTTATACAACTGATTTAATCCCAAGCATTATCTTTCATTGCGTATATCCACACAAGGTAATTTTAATGGTTTCTGCACTCCCACATCATAAGAGAGGGAAGGCAGGAACGAAGGAGCTGGCACTAACGTGAGCATTACACGGCTGCCACGCTACTGAAGCAAAATCTAAGGAGACCGCATAGCTAAGCACATCAGCATTTGTTATTGCTGGCTTTGCCTTCTCTCCTCAGATCCACACACACTTAGCCTTGACTACCTGCGTGGATTAAGTATGGACACAAAGAGCTTGAGACCTATTAACCCTCTCTGTAGAAATTAATACTGCTTGTCATTTACACTGATACTGTCTGTTACGCAAAATGCAGAGATCTGTAGGCCCAAGGACTGAACACCCCCGTGGTCCCACCTGCCGTTCACTTTACATAATATTTTGTAAATACATTCTTGTATATAACAATAGCTTTTGATGAACAAGCGGATAAAATATTCAAGAGGGGCAATTAGCCATAGCACTCACAGCAGTGCTGATAGAAGTTACGTGCTTTGTTTCACTAGAGTTCTGAAAACATTACCCCAAGTGACAAGTACTCTATTGCCATAGAAACTCACATGCATGCATATCTTTCTTTTCCTAAATGTCCTGAGGGAGTTGTTCCATTTGATACTAAGTAACCATCATGATTGTAATCTGTTTACTGTGATGATTATTGTTATCATTATTATTGCTTTAGGTAATTCTAGGAATTCTACTTCCTCCTTCAATCCTCAGCTTGGAGTTCAAGAACAAAGATGATATGCCTTACATGTCCCAGGCTAACGAGATCCATCTTCAAGAGAAGGAGCCAGAGGAACCAGAGAAGCCAGTGAAAGAAAAAGAGGAGGAGGACATGGAACTCACCGTAAGTGCCAACAATAAATTGTCAGCCTCAGTGCTGTCAGTTTGCTGTTCCCACCTCTGTGGGCATTGCAGGCTGTCTGATGGCTAAATTTAGCAGATGAGAGGATACCACTCTTAACACTCCCATCTCCTCCATGGGACTAAAACCAAACTAGTTGGCATCATTGTGTCTCAGTGTTGCAGCAGCGCATGGTGATGCTGAATCATCATGTTGTGATGTAATATCCTCAAATTTGATTCAATTTGATGCCACGTCGCCTGAAAAAAATTCATGAGATTTCAGAATTGAAAGCACTCAGCCATGATAGATGAGTCGGCCTCTCTTGCAGAAAAGAAGCTCGCTAAGTCTTCTTTTGGATGGAAATGTCCAAAGAGTCATAGAAGCTAGAGATTTTTTTTCTTTTGGTTACCTTCATTAGAGGCCAAGTAAGTATGCAAACAGGCAAGAAAAATGATGAAAATTTTTTTCAAAATTCTTTATGAATTTGTGGTCGTTGCCTCTCACATATACACACGTGCAGTTTTTAATCCACTGAAGAAATTAGCGAGCAGCTGAAAAGCTCAGGCCTTACTTAGAGCTTCTGCAGCTCAGCAGAGTTGTGTAAGGGAGGACTTGTATGTATTAGTAACATAGCCTTAGAGGAATAATTTGCATCACAAAGAGAATCAGATGGCTAAAGCCCTGAAAAATGTAGAAGTCACCTAGTTCCAGTCTCTTGTTTTCAGACTTGTTTGACACTTTTTAATTTGGGCAATTATCATGTGAGTGATAGTTCATATTCAGACCTGCCTTAGCTTTGTTTGGTTTGCTTTGGTTTGGGTTTGATTGTGGTGTCGTTTAAAGGCCTAAAACTCGGCCCTAGTTGTTCAAGGTCAGGACAAAGGCACAGAAGTAGAAGGGATTTTCCCTGTTAATTTAAAAAAAAAAAAAAAAAAACCAAACAACCAAAACAAGCACACAAAATCCAGACTGTTTCCCACAGGCAAACAGCAGGAGCTGCCCGCAGGACCCCGTCTCCAGGCAGGCAGAAGGACCTGCCTACAGGACCCAATATGCAGGCAAGCCGAAGGAGCAACCCACAAGACCCACCTACAGGACCCGTTTGCAGGCAAGAACCTGGCCGTTGGGAAGGACCAGAAGCCAGAATAGCAGCAATGGGCCATTCTCCGCTCATTAGCTATTAGTTGCAATTTACTATCCCTGGCTTCTGATCCACTTATGAAGTGCCTATTCAAATCAAATAAGCACTTTGCAAGCTGCCTTTTTCTTGGCAATGGGGAAAAATTTGGAGAGGAAGTCATTTCCATCTCTCTGCAGTTTATCCCAGCTCCTGGTTTCTTGTCTACAATACTGTGTTTCCTTTTCACCTTCTGACTCCTGCTACAAGGAAGTGATGTGCTGAACTGGATCTGCTTTTCCAGATGAGTCTTAGATGTTCCCTCCCTTCTCCTTTCCGTGTGCTGACAGTCCTACTGCTCTTTCCTGTCATTGACTCTGCCCTCAACTCACTCAAACTCAATGCATCATTCTAGTGAAGTTTCAGACACATAAAGTCTTTTCCAGAAAATAAAAACTGTTTCTGTGGAGTCCAGCAAGTTTAGAAACAGTATCTTTCGTACACCACTGCTGACTGAATATTTCTGCGTATAATCTATACTGTGCTTTAGGACTTCTAGCACAGCTTCTTCACCCAGGTGTCCTTCAGTGGTGAGGAGATATGATTTGCTAGCAAAGACCTTTCTGTTAGATGCCATAGCCGGTTATATTTAGGCCCCTTTAGGCACCGTGTCAGGGAGAGTGTTCCTACCTGTCATGTTTTAAATAAAAGAAAATATTTTAGATTGAAGTTTTGCTTTATTCCGGCCTTAGTCAAATGGTCTGGTGTAAGTTGTGTCTCTTCTCCACTGATGGGAGAATGCCCGCAAGACTGTTTGGGAATTGCCTTTGTGAAGTCTCTCTTTAGCCACACTTATATTAAGGGTACCTTATTGATAGTCCATTAAGATTAATAATTGATTGTGATGTGGTATCACAAATGTTTAATCAGTTGCTGAACCCTGGCTCAATAGATCATTCATTCATCCTAACCAGAGCTTGCAACTATTGTATTCAAAATGAACTGCCTATTTTCCTCATTATTTTTTCCTTTCAGGACAAACAAATTATTATTTGTTTCAGTCATTACTACAGTTTTATTTTATTCATTTATTTAATTGGCATGTGATTGTTTAATATTTTTTTCCAAAATTTTTCCATGGTTTGGGTTTCTGAGTTTTGTTTGGCTTAAAGCTTAAATAAACAAAATCAATGAAGTAAAAATCATTTTGATCACCTCAAAAGTCCTTTTCTGGCAAATAAGGCATCATCCAAACAATCTGCCTAACTCTATTTCTAATCATTCCCAGTGAATACTTCTCAAGTCTCTGTATTCCTATAATATTACACCCATATGCATTTTTATAAAAGTACTGCTAAGATAAAGAGATCACATCTAGTCAAGGTCTGTTCATGGACTTCTTACGAAGTCTTGTGTGTCCTGCACAGCTAAGCCCAGGTGACTGATGATAAGCCAAAAGAGTTAGTTTCTTCCTCCGGACTGCACTTGTGCAGAGTGGAGGAGGTACAAGGCCACAGTAAATTTTGCGCTAATTTACACCTCATTTGCACAGAATAATGTGATCACAACAGTAAAGTAAGTCTCTGCATGGGTGAAACTGCATGCGAGTATGTATTTGTTTTATGCTCCTCTCAAAGGATCTGGTGGGTAGCTGAACATTTGGGTATACTGTAAAGATGCAGTGTTTATTCACTGTAAACTACTTGTTACTCACACCTGCTTTTAACTTTATAACAGATATACGGTGGTGCTGGGCACACATTTCTTTAACACCTAGGTGCTAGGCAACAGACTTTCCTTATAGCAGCTACTCACAAAAACACGCTTGAATGCTGCTCTCATCCCTGCTCCCTCAGCACCGAGGAATTTACCACAATTTATGTATGGAGCTGCCAGTCATTAATCCTGAATATTAGACACAGAGGAGTAGAAGGGCACTAAAGTATAAAGACCATGGGCATTTTGTATTGACCAGGGCCCTAATTAGTTGCTGATTTTTAGGTCGGTCAGAAACCCCAGCAGTCTACCCTCCTCCCAAAATAACACTGATTCTGGAAGCCATAACTAGAAGCATCCTTATCCCTATTCAGTGCCTTATTGTTTGGCTGAGTTCCCCAGTAAACGGTCTTATTTCAGAGCACAGAATAACTCATCTAAGCCCTTTAGAAGATGTTTCATTTGTTGTTTTGCTCATTTTGTTGGAATTTTGCACATCCAATAGGATGTTTGGATTTCCACAGGCATCACTAGGAGCCTGAGTTAGGACTTTTCATCAGCAGCAAAGCTAGTTGTGTTGGCCTCTGGGCTCACATTATCCCATCTGCAGTATGTATGCTTAGCCTTTTCTGCATGGTAAAAACTAACCACATATTATATCACTAAAGATACTATTCTTCAGATAGGAAAGGTTAAAGACCAGTGTCCTTGTGCCCTTGGCCCATCTCACCCACCTCGCTGGGGGACGGTGCTCGTACCATCTCCCATGCCAGCAGCAAGGCTCATCTGGAAAACGGCAGTGGAAGACACTGCTGGTGGTCACAAGTCAGAAGTGCTGGCTGTCTCCAAAAGGAAGGATTTCCATCTGTTTCTCCAAGGATTTTGGAACTCCCCTCCCATATCACCACCACACAACCACCCTGGCACTGTCCTTTGCTGTGCTCAGTAGGCAGGATGACTGAGCTCCTGGTGCTTTAGCCCCGCTCCTCAGTATTCACATTAAAGAACCACTGAGCACATGCAAAATCCAATTTTACACACCTGTAACTCCAAGGCATTAAACCTTTCTTCCTACCAGTATTTTGAGGCAGAGAACAGTAACCCTAGAACAACTACCATGGAGGTAGGGGTGTGCAGAGAGAGGTGTGGTATATCTGCACAGCTATGTACCATTTCCATACCAGTGTGAATATGGGGTAAGTCTGTATGTGGCATGTAGATTTCACTAAGGATAAAATTTGAAGAGCCTATGATCATTCTAGCAGGACTGAAACTCCCGTTATTTAATAATAAAACAGATAAATATATTGTAGGATCGTTAACATATATTAATGCAAAAATGCACAACCCCAAACTGTCCTGTAAACAGTCCTCAATTACATAAAACAAAATCTGGCCAAATAAAAAAAAAAAAAAGAAAGAGAGAAAAAATAACAAAACAGAATCCTGATTAGAAAAATCTCCATGCAAAAACTATGCGCACATCAATCCCCTCAGGCTGAAATGATGCAGTTGTACTGTACTTTACAATGTAGTTGAGCTGCTGTCGGGCTTACCTTGCATGACTCATGGTGAATCATGGACAAAATTGTGTATTAGAGAAAGAGATGCCGCCCACACAGAGCAGTGTCTTGAGTTATTCCCACCCTATTGCTTCCCCCTCCAAGTGAAAACACATTTGTTCACATTCGGCATTGCAGCTGTTCTGTTAGCACAGTCACTTAGGTTATTTCTGTATGTTTCTAATGGGGAGGCTTTTCAGTTTGTTAATACTGTGATATAATTAACAGTCGGGGACATCAGGTCAAATCTAATCCCCAGCCACCTCAGAGCAATTCCCCATCTGTAGCATGGGGGAGGGGAGTTTAGTATTATGCGATACAATTAATTCAAAACTAATTACAACAAGGTAAAATTACAGCATCATTTATCAACAAGAAAGCAATAGCAAACAGGAAATCAGCATCCATGCACCAAAGCATAAATCCAGGTCCTGAAAGAGCACTATACTAAAAACATCCGCAACCCAATGATTCCAACGAGAGCTAAGACTGCCTCAGAATCAGTAAATTTATAAAATTGTGAAGGGTTTAAACTCTGTGAAATAATCCCTTTCACTAAAGCATGGCACTGCTCGGTTGTTAAAAGCCGCCAGCGTTCATTTTCACTCTGCTGCAAAATTGATGAGCACCAGAGGGCAGCAGAGACAAAGCCTTGGGAAAACTTACAGAGAGCTGTGGCACCAGATGGCAGCTTCCCCTAAAACAGCGTCAGGAGGTTGCGAGAAGCAAGAGATGGGTACCTTCTTCGGCTATAATTTTCCCAAACCATTCAGATCGTATTCTACTTATTTTTTTTGCCCCTCCCCTCCCCCCCCGGCTAAACCACCCCTGATGTAGATTAGGGAACCGCTTTGGTTTTGTAGATTTCAGGTGATGATACTTGGGAGTTCTGTGAAGGTTGTGTAATCTCTCCTACTATGGTTATATTCAGTAGGTCTCGTGTTCTTGCAGACTACCTGCTTATCTAATAGAACCCTTCTCCTCTGCTTAACAGCCACTTCATCTTTTTCCTTTTTTTATGAAACTCTTGATGGACTTTTGAGGGGTTTTATGTGCTCTGTGAGAATCAACAGGAGGTATATTTATTTATTTTTTAATATGCATTGTTTCATCTGCATTTATGGCAATGAACTTAGAAATCTGAAGACGTTAAAAGGTAAAGGAAATAGGTAGCTTCATCAAAGCAGGCTACACTTTTAAGAGGATCTCAGCAGGTTAGTTTCAGTGTGGTATACTTTTGTCCTGAATCAGTGTTCTATTTTATTAAGAATGTGCAGCGCAACACCTGCACATAGTCAAATTCAAGAATGTAAGTGACCATGTAGAAAGTAATAATACAAGAAGAAAAAACTCACTGCATAAATGAAATGAAAGTAAAATATTATGCAGGAGCCATCTAAGACCGTACACAGACCTAATAATACTGCAAATATCTACACTGACTGAAAGAAAGAAAAAAAAACCCGTGGTCAACAGTTTATCATTACAATTACTATTTTACAAGACCAAAGACCTATATGAATAGCTCCACATGAGGTCCAGAAAAAGGAAGAAAAGGAAAGACTGTGGGTCTTACTTTTAAATATGTGAGAAGTGCCTCTCCTGTCTCTGTAGGGCAACAGAAGCAGATCAAATAGCTCACCTGAAGCTGATTAGTGAAGTATGTGCTGAACATCCTGTTGAATCAGAGAGGACATGGGTAGATAAAAGAAGGACCTCTTTATTGAAAGACAATGTGTCTGGCATCTAATTGTTCTCTTTAGGGGCTTGGTTTTCCAGGTTTTTAAGTTGCAGATGAGAAAAATGTTATCTTCAGTGATGGTGAAAGTTTGCTTCAGTTGACATAAAAGTAAGAAAGTGCTCTGATCTCCTTGTAGAAAAACATTATAGAAGCATGTAAATAAAAGCATCATCATGCAATCCTTGTGTACTTAGATAGGACAGTTGTATCTCAATTCTTGCAATTGCTTTCATGTGCAGGAGTGCTACAATCTATAGGTGCTGCCACAAACTGAATAGTAAGAACTTGCTCAGGGTACAGTGACCTAAAATCCACTCTTGGTCTACTATTCACAAAATAATTGTTTCAGAAAGTACATATAATAGATCACGCTGTACTCTAAATACAAAGGGACACCTTCTTTTAAGCATTGGATTCAGAGAGTATATAGTTCAGTCACGCCTTCCAGCTGTCTGCAGCTGACCGTGAAATTAAGAGTAAATAAAATATTACCATCGTTTGCCTGTTAGGTTTGCACTTATAGCTAAGGACTTCTTAAGTATGTGTTTCTGGAGCTCAGCATAGATCTTCAGTGAGTCGGAATTGCAATGGTAACAGTGAGATCAAGGCAGTGCATGAGCAGTCTGGAACTTCATTATGGAAGAAGCTTCAATCGTGTAGATGGATCTTTCAATCCAAGGCCTTAATGCTGCAGTGAACTCTACTGGTCAGTCCTCTACATCCATGTGAAGTTCACTGTGGGATCATTGCCTGTGACAGATCCGGTGATCAACGTAGAAAGAGTCACTGGCTTCATCGCTTCCAGTCCAGCAACTGCCAACTCATCTTTCCCCCTGTTGTTCTCTCTCAGTCTCAGCCTTATGAACTTCTCTGTTTAAAACCAAAACTTACCTGTTTTCTGTGTGTATCTGTTTATTGTATAGAAGTACACCACAAAAAGCTGTTGTCAGGTAAAAATTTTGCTGTCCATACAGCAAAAAGGAGAAATGTTCTCCACGTCTCATTTTTTGTTCACCAGTCAAGGATTTCACACTGGTGCTGACAGTTGTTGCCAAAGCATTGCTTTTTTTTGGTTTACATAGTATTTTACAACAGTTTCCCTGCAAAAAAGATAATCTGAGAACAAAGTATTTTACACCTAGCTGTGGTCACCTAGTTTTGTCTAAAGGTTAAGAAATCAGAGAAGTTTTGAATAGTTTCCTTTTGAAATTTCAAAAAAAATGGCTTAATTTGTCTTTCACAAAGAAAGAAACACAAAAATGTTCTTTCTTGTAGGCGATGCTTGGACGAGGGAATGGAGAGTCCTCAAGAAAGAAAGACGAAGAGGAAGTTCAGAGCAGGCACAGGCTGATCCCTGTTGGAAGAAAGATTTATGAGTTCTACAATGCTCCCATCGTTAAATTTTGGTTTTACACAGTAAGTGTACACATTTAAAGTGTGCATCTGCATGCACTGGAGGGCTTATCCATAAATAGTTTAATAAAAATCTTTTGTGGAGGTCAGGTAGCACTTGCAAACCTGTCTGAGACTTTTAAAGACTACCATTTCATTCAGGAAGTTAATGATTAAAATTTGAATGACTGTGTGTGTTTTTCTTCAAATATGACAATAAGTCACAGTTTGCTGCAGTCAGTGCTCCCAAGGAATTCCCAGTGGAAGAATTCCCAGTAGGAGAGCTCCAAATAATAAGCCCAATGGGAGGCAAGGCTGAATCAGGATATCAAATTTTATAATAGTTGATAAAAAAAAAAGAAGCAGACAAAGCATATCTTTTCTTGCAACGTTTTTGCTTTGTTCTGTTTTGGCTAGTCTGCAGAGTGTCTCTCAGGGAAAGTGTTTGTGTAAGTACCTACAAAATAACAAAAGACATGAGTAGCAACTAATGTACTTTTTTTCAGGGACAAATGATGTCAAATCAGTTTAAACTCCCTGTGTTATAAAGAAACAGACCTTGCAGCTGGAGCAGAAATAAAATTATATCCTATATTTTGACTAAAGTAAGACAGTATCAAAAACTTCACTGGACATTCTCATATAAAAATTAAGAACTGTTATGTTCAAGTTACTAAGTGGATACAAAACTTCTTATCAATTAGTCCTCCAGAACAGATATTAATAATTCACTATCAAGCTAGAAGCAGGGATTGGAAAGGATTCCGTTAGGGTCTCTCCTACATCAGGTGGTATCTGATATTTTCATTCAAAACTTGGATGATGGAGTAGAGATTAGTTATTAAATTTGCAAATTGCACTAGAATGTAGAAGGATGAGATCAAAAAGTAAAATGAACATAGAATGTAATCCTTTCAGTCTCCTTGGCTGGAATATTCTATCCCAGTACAGCTTTTGCAGCATGTGGCCTGGTTTGAAGGACACAAAAAAGAACAGGAAAAATTTTTCCAGAGGTCTATAAAACATGACTTATGGGGAAAGACTTAAGGAAGCAAGTTGTTTTCTCTGGAAAAAAAAAAAGAAGTCTGCAGAACGAATGCAATAGTCGTCAAATAACTGTAAGTATCTGCAGAGAGGAACAAAATGGAATAATCTCCTAATCCTTGCTGAATAGGACAAGAAGTAATGGTTCAAATTGCAGCAAGGCAGTTCTAGGTAAGATGTTAGGAAACAGTTTCTAACAGCTCTTAGAAGTACTGTCATAAACTGTGTAAAAAGACGGTAGATTTTCCATTATTAGTGTTTTCTAAGTCTATCTTATTGAAACATATGTCCACTATGGTACCCTGTAATTAATCCTGCCTCAGCACCGTGGAATTGGCCAGATGATTTCGGGTGGTCCTTGCCAGTCATATTTTCCATCATTCTGCTGAATGCACAGCAAATCACAAAGAATGCATCCTTCCATATACAACTTCGTATGCGAAAAAATGTGTTGCTGAGATCCAGGCAATGTGTCTACAGAGAGCAGGAACAGTTCACATCAACAGAGACTAAACTGTGGTGGACAGCTTATGCCAGCAAATAGCTCCAGTTTGGCAACCTGGAGTAACTAACTACTTGTTGAACTGTGTGTCCATTGAACATTAATCAGGCTGATGAGTCTAGAAACTCCTCATCAGCAGCCTAGTCTCATTATCAATTGCAATATGTATTATGCATAAGAAGAGAAGTCTTCACACTGTAAACAGAAAGAAGCATCGCGGCTCTCCCTGTTAGTTCAATTCTGAAATGGGAGAAAAAGATCAATATTGCATTTCCATTTAGACCTGTTCCTACAGTTTTATGTCCTGAGGCAGGTCTCAATGAAGGTCACTTATTAAAGCTGGATCTTGACTACACTGAACTTTAAGAGCAAATTAAGGTGGATTCTGGCTGTAGTGCTGGACCATTTGGGTGTATTGAGAAACTCCTGGAGACTAAAAGCAAAACAACTTTCAGATGAGGGTTAAAATTGCACAGCCTATAATGTTTTTTACAAGCACACAGGCAGAAAAACTAATCATAGATTTCAAAAGAAATCCTCCAAATTTTGCATTCCACAGTCAAAATTGCAAGAAAAGTGACTATACTTATAGCTATTGTATGCCATTTAAAATAATTTGAATATTCTATATCTACCTATCTGCTCTTACTCTCTAGCTATATCCACCTTCATTCTTAAAATCCACAAGAGTGGGTTAAATGTGGTGTTGTTTGAGTAAGTAACATTTTGCCTCAGCAGGTGAGCCAAAATAAACAGCTTTTTCTCAACCAAAAAAACTTTAGCCTTTCTCTTTCTAAAACTTAAGCCTACTCAGACATGCAGTAGTTTCATAAGCCAACTACTCTGTTCTGTTTTCTGGCTGTTGGATGGAAAACAGTGACTCAAACGTTTCATCTCACAGATTGCTTGAGGACAAGAGGATGGCCTTTCCCTTTTAACTACTAGCTTTAGGCTGAGATGCTCACAGGATGTAAGAGGCCACATTTCTGCCTCTTCTGAGGAGGAATAGCTGCAGGGGGAATTGCACGCTAAGTAAGAGTCATCTTCTAAATATAAAACCAGTTTTGCCCTAAGATTTTCATTTTGGGTCCACTTCACTTTACGATCAGTAGTCTCCCCCTTGAAGCACTCTTCTGTTGGTGCAATTTCCGGGTTTGCCCCTTACCATAATGAGTATGCAAGTATTTTCTATAGAATGGGACAGCATCCATAGGAAGGCAGGGAGCAACCCACGGTAGAAACTTCTTAGCAGGCTGTTCCTCTCCTTAGTTTCTTCAGGTATTGCCCTCAAAGGTGAAAATGGTAGCCCCTCACTCTTTGTAAAGCCATCAAAGAGCAAGAAAAAGAGGGTTCAGCTACTTGTATTAAACAGCACTTTCCAGGAGTCTTGAGCACCAGCATGGGCAGCTGTACTGAGATTTGACCACAGTGTGGGATCAGGGCATCCTCCTGGAAGGCAGGAACCAGTTACAGGTCTGGGAGGGAGAAGAAGGATGTCACTCGCTATCCAAAGGGCTTGTTTCTCAGCTTAAAGTGGTGCAGTTTCAGCATCATTTTATTCTTAAATCAAGATGCTTTTTTTCTTTATTAAAAAAAAAAACAAACCAACAAACCCACAACCAACCTCTCAAAACAAAATCATGAATAAAACCCTGAGAGTCTTGTGGTTTCTGTCACCTTTGTAACCTTAATGTCTCTATTCTTTTGCCATACTAACTGAAAATGCTCACGAAAGGCTGCTGAGTCAGACCAAATTAATAAGATTTGCTGATAATTAATTATCAATAAGATCTAAGAGGAGGGGTGTTAGGTGACAGTATCACCTGGCTTTTTGCACTATAGTGGAAGGTGTTATTTCAACTAGGCAGATGTCCATCCAGTTCTTCTGCCCAGACAGAGTTTCTGCTGACTCGGATGGCACCTTAGATGCTGACCTAAGTCAATATTGCTTTCCATTTCCTTTAGGAGTGTTAAGGGAAGACCAAGCTCTAGACTTGAGCGTTGCAATCCATCAGCACGCACAAACTGAAAGACAAATGAGATGATTTCCTCCTCTATTTTATGCAGACAAGAAGTGGGGGTTCAACTGGCTGTCTTCTCCGTACTGATAGTTATGGCCAATACAAAGAATTCTCTCGAGTGTCCTTCAAACCAAAAACTGGAAGAAGAACCAGAACCCTGTGGCTTTTACACAGAGCAGAAGTGATGTTCTCTAAAAAATACAACAGGACTATAAATCCTGTTCTGTGAGGTGCTGAACACTGAAATAATCCTACCCAAAAGTGTCAAGCCCCTCCGTGGTTGTTTCATCTTAAGTCTGACATCAAGTACACGATAGTTGTGAGTAACATGCAGTTGAGAAGGAAAAACTGTATTGAAATACAGATGTATGGAATAAACTTTCTGCAACAATGACTTAAATGTTAATGCACAGAACTCAGTCATCTTTTCACTGATTTAAATTTGGCTTAAGATGCATTTTCTTGTAGGGCTGCTGTTTGAAAGGCAAAGTACATGGGCAGTTGGGTTTTGGCCACCAGAGACCTCAGCCGCAGCCATGCATCCTTGCTACACCCCATGCTCCAGGGTGACACTTGGGTTTCTCTGAGTTTTATGAACCTCACGATGCAATATGCCTGTCTTGTCTTTTTTTTTTTTTTTTGACTGACCATTTCATTACATTCAGCATGTAGAAAGAAAGGAAAAAGAAACTAAAAAGATAATCCACACTTTCCATTGTATCAAAAATTAAGCCAGAAGGCAGATATATTACAGAAGGAAAAGCAAAACAGTTGTAGGTAAAAACCTACGTAAAATATAACGCAAATGAATGCATGGCTATGCCTGTATATTTGCTGCATCAAGGTGAGTAGGAGTGGCAGTGGCTTGGGGAACAATCATGGTACAGGTTAGGTCAGGACTACACTGGGTAGGAAGACTTCTAGCAACACCTAGGACCTTCTGGGTTCCAGGCAAGGATTGTGTAAAAACGATTTGGAATGCCAAAGTCAGCCGAGGCGAGGTGAACAGGGAGAAAAAACACAGAGGAGGGGTGCTAGAGGAGTGAAGTGTATTAGAACCAGATGAGGTTCACATAGGTTACTTACTTTGGTAGTTGGCACAGTGGTATCAGAGTTCCTATCACTGCAGAGGGACTGCCTTAAAGACATTTTTGTTGGGAAGGCAGATGTAGCTGGAGGGGAGGACGTTTGTGCACGTATTTTGCAGATTCCACACTGTATGTGATTTAATGTGTGTTTTTTTCAGACAACCCCAAACACTAATTGTTCTTTTATCTATTTAACTCTGGTTACAGTGGAATTAGGAACATCAAACCATACCCAAGAAACTGGCTCAGTCATATAAAGATAGTGAATATTGATATTAATTTTGTCTCTTTACAGCTGGCATATATAGGCTACTTGATGCTGTTCAACTATATAGTGTTAGTGAAGATGGATCGCTGGCCATCTACACAGGAATGGATTGTCATCTCGTACATTTTCACTCTGGGAATAGAGAAGATGAGAGAGGTAAAATCACCCCAACCAAGAAAGAGAATGAAAAAGGAAATAAGCATGTTTTTTTCATTTTAGTATCTGTTTTTAACATTTTTCTCAGGATAATTTTTGATGAACAGGCTTATCATAAAATTGCTTTTTTTTTTGCAGAAAAGCAGATGGATTGTTAAAAACACAGCACTAAAAAACTATCTTGCTCCATTTTAAAATCAAGAATATCTCTCTTTCTTTCTCCTTCTCCCACGGAATGTCTCTGTTCAGATTTCTGTATGATGCACGCTTAATAGCATTCACAAGTATGGGGCAGTCTTCTGACATATCTTAAAGCTCAGCTATATTCATTCAAATGTGGCCCAGAAACTGAAATACGTTTCAGGGAGAGGAAAAGGAGATATGCTCTAACACAGTGGACACAGAGACATGGTGATAGCACGACAACTGAAAAGCCCATGTTTGTCCCCCTATCCCGCCCCAAATAGAGTTAATTCAAAATTTACAGCTGTTCTTTCTGTCCAAGTATCTCATGCAAAGGCTTTAGATAAAACCAGCCATAACCAGGGGAAAATTTAGATCCACATTGAATATTGCAGTACATTTGTAATAGCTTTTTCCTCTTTTAATCTTGAAAAATTTTGCTAATTATGTCAAGCAATAGCATGCATCTCCCTAAAGATGCTAAAGCAGACATGTAGCAGCATAGACAGAGCATTTAAGGTGGCACTTAGTCTACAGGCAGAGTGAAGGGCTTTTTGCCATCCCCTGCCCTTCATGGTCTGTCCCACTTGCAGCTACTACTGTGCCCTTTTCACTTGGCCAAATGCGCATTTATTCCACAATGACACCAGAGGCCAAATTCAGTCCTGATGTGAGTGGGTGCATGTCCTGCTGACCTCGGCTGAAACAGCACATTTGTACCCCTGGGCTGAATTTGTTACCATCTACATTTGTATTTTCTGCAGCAAATGCTTTTGAGGACTAGACTAAACATGGTCTTGCAACAGCCACTTAGATTTCAAAGACAGATTTCAAACACTGTATGGTAAACTCTACATTATAAGTAAGAAGAACAGAGGAAAAGATTCTACTTGTGTGGCCTATAATGAGTGTACTTCACTAACCAAGAGAAAAAGAAGAACAGTGGCAGTAGCCACATGGGGACTTGGCAGTACTGATGGAGACAAAGCACCGCTGGCTCAGGAGGTGGGAGGCTGCTGGCAGGAATCATGTGTGCCATTTTTGTCTAATCATTCACCCCAAATTGTCCTTTCCACAAAAGTTTATCAAGAACATTTGTCGGAATGGATTTCTAAACAGATGTTGGAGATTGTTCACAGAATATGAGCCTAAAATTCATTCTGAAAATGAATTATAAGAAAATTATAAGAATGACATTCATCTTTTTAAGGAACTGTATGATTCTGTTCAAATGTTCTCAGGCTAAAAATAGAAAATTAAAACAAACAGCTTGTTAACTAACTAAAGGCTAGGAATTATTCATAGAAATCACTTGAGGAATAGTTTCAACAGTAACTCAGGAAAACAATCAAGTCTCTCAAATGATCTTGCAAATAGAATGATGGTAAATGCATAAGGTAAGATTAATTATTTTTGCGAATTTTTTTTTTCAGCTGTGGAACTTAATTTCCAAAAGCAGGTCCAAGTAGTAGCTAGTATCTCTCTGGATTAAATGCTAGACCCAGATGTTTGTGGTTACTAATTATTTCTTGACAGTTTGATACACATTTTAGAAGAATTTTCTTTAAATCTACAGCTTCTTTAAATGTGAATTTTCTGACGAAATATCTTTCTGTACTTTCCCCTCTATTCCAAGACTTTAAGTAGAGTCAATAAATTTGAAAAACAGAAAGATACCTATATATTTCTTCTGATTTCATGGGGATTTTAGAGTGAGTGAGGTTTTCATCCTTTTTAAGTATCTTGCACATAGATACTGGCTAAAAATGGTTGAAATGGAAGATTTCTCAAAAAAAAATCAAAGAGTTCATGGGATATTTATATGACAGGAGTCTATCAGCTTTGGTTTTGGCCTGCGTGGCATGTATCTGTTTACTATAGATTTCTTCAAGCTTAAATTAAGATAACTCAGCTCCTTACCTCTCCATGTCCTCTGTCCTTCAGATATTGATGTCAGAGCCCGGGAAACTGCTACAGAAAGTAAAAGTTTGGCTCCAGGAGTACTGGAACGTTACTGATCTCATTGCTATCCTCCTGTTCTCTGTTGGGATGGTGCTCCGTCTACAAGATCTGCCACTCCGGAGTGATGGCCGAGTGATATACTGTGTTAACATAATTTACTGGTATATACGGTTATTAGACATCTTCGGAGTAAACAAGTATTTGGGACCATATGTTATGATGATTGGGAAAATGGTAAGAGAAGTTGGTGTACTCCTGTGTTTTAACAGCATGTTCTTGACTCAATGTCTTTGGCCAATGACATTATTGCAGATTTACCTGTATTTTTTTACACATTAGCATTTTCATGTAAGCTAGGAATCGGTGACTCTTTGAATCAAAATCTCAACATAGACCCCCACAATTGAAAATTAGACTCTCCCCATTCTGTTAGATGATGTATTGCTTGTCTTTCTCTGAGATCTCTTCAACAGCAAAGCCATCCATCCTACACCTCTGTGCCTCATTTGCAGAAAATTTAAAGGACGCTAATTCTCAACTAGTTGTAAAGGAGGGTGGTTTGTTACGGTAAAAAAAGTGTTTGGTACCTTGATACTCTCAAAGAAAGTGTGTTGTAATAGGCATGGTATGTTCAAAACAGTTACGATTAAGACTGTCACCTTTCTATAGTTTGCTCCATATCCATACTTTCTTCCACCTTTCCTGTTCAGGTGTGTCCTTGTGAGATGAGAAATTTATTTGCGTAACTGCAGCCTCTGTCCCCTGACCACATCACATGTACGCAGCATGGCAGGAGTATGAATAGTTTATGTAGTAGTAAATGCATACAGGAGCAACCAAGAGATATTTGCTGCCAGATGTATAACTTTTGACTTTTTGGCTTTCTCTTTTTACGTGTCAGTATAAATGTTGCATTAGAGCAGTATTTTGCTCGTATGAGTTAAAGGAAGTGGCTAAGATTACAGATTCACATGCACATGTCCCTGATATTTGAGTACAAGCACGTGTAGCTAATATACATGCTCATGTTTTACATGCAGTTATCCAGCCTTTGTTGTATAAATCATGGCTGTTTCATGCATTCTGGGTTTAAGATTTATTAAAAAAAAAAAATGGAATTAAAACCCCTTGAAGCAGGCATCCAGTTAAAAAAGTAAACTGAGTATTAACTTTTCCAAATACAAATACTACTACTATCTGACTGCTACGTGGACAATAATCAACAAGTCCAAATAGACTGTCTGTTTTGTTTACCTTACCATGGTACTTCCAGAAAAGACCCAGCCACCCTCCTTCCTCACCGTCATAGGAAAAGGAGACATATATGTCCCCTTTAGCATGGACTTCCATCTGTCCTTGACATTACATTAATCACAGCAAGCCCAGTGATTCTAAGCAGTTATAAAACTAAAATGCAAAATATATGTCCAGTTAGGGTCCCAACTCAACATGTGACCAGAGAAACATTGTCTTATCCCTTCATTTTACCGTCTTACAACTCTGAACCCACAGTGGTGGATTTGACAAAGACAGAACAGCTTAATGAAGGGGAAAAAAAAAAGAAAGATGGGGAAAAATAAAAAACAAAGTGGCTGTTGAATTGTTATGTCCTGCAAACAGGATTTCAAAGTGTGTTACCCTCCTTCAAGGAACCCAATAAGATGTTGATGGAAGGGATTTTGCAGAGCTCCAGAGTACAGAGCTGAAAACACTCAACAGTTCTTGCTGGAGATTACTGTAAAAGGACAGCAGAACAAGAGAAGGGACCAAAGACCAAAGGGAAAACACTGCATTATCATCTGTTTCTTTCCTGCCCCACCTGGATTATGTCCCTTGATCAGGGGATCTGGTGGTCTCTGGGACTTACACAATACAAAGCGTGTAAGACTCCTAAAAAACAACAACTCTTGTACTCTGTTGTATTTTTCACAGATGCCATGCACAAAAAGTTTCAGAGCTGCAGTGCTCACCAAGTCAGTCTGAAAATGGGTTCAATAATAAACACGTTGGCTATGAATAACATACTTCTAGTAGTCAGTGCTATGGATGGCTGATAGGAGTCCAGCTTCACCAATAGTATAAACAGTGGTTTATTTTTTTCCTGGGGTCAACATAGAAAGGAAGTGGTTGAAATCAGAAAAATAATATAATTTCCATTCCTTTGTCATCCTCACATGTGTACAACAAATCAAGCCTCATTCCACTTTCTGTGGAAAACAAACACAGGAAAATCACTAGCCCCTGTAGGCTCAGCACCCACTCAGAGGGTGTTGAATTTAGCTCCCAGAGTACAGTGAAGGTGTGGACAACTGTTAAAGGAGGGAAGTTCTTTTATTTTGTGCCTTCCTGTTATTTGATTTTCATACCTCATCCAACTTTCCATGCACTCAGCAGCTCTGACACATCCACTTTGCCCACACATGCAATGCCCACTGGTTTGAATTACACAAATCTGCCTCTCGCATCTATTTTCTGGTCAGCCTATTCCCCTGTGTAATGGCGAGCCCATTTGTATCCTGCACAGACCTCCCTGAGAGCTGCACCTGCTTGCTCCAGGCTGCAATGGGCTCCCTTGTGTATTTTTGTTTAAATCACACGTCCATTGACCTCTTGGGTTCTGTCTTTTTCATTCCATGTCCTTGCAAGTCCCATTCAGTACTATGGAGCCCATCAAGCTGGTTATACATATTTCTACAGAGTAAGCCCATCACAGCTACTGAGTTGCTCAACAGCCCATATTGAACACCTGAGCTTTTATCCTGAGCTTCTAAACTAAGTTTTAGACTCAGGAGGAGAAAGATGACTCTTTCCATCTTTCCAATGTTGAGGAACTTTCTCTTCACCTGCCTCTACATTGTATCCAACAAAACAGCAGTAATAGGTTTTACTTCTGGGCACTGTGAACAAATACACATGCGAAATTAAGCAAAAGCAGAAATGGGCTTGTGTGGTTTAAAAGCAATGGGTGAAACCAGAGGTGAAGATAGGAGGAGGAAACTGAATGGCCAAGTTTATTATTATCTACTAATTTCAGTAACAGATTATGCTTATTATAATGCCCTTTTCTGATCTCTGTGCAGCGTTAGTTTTACTGCCCTTTTATTTGGGAATGAAATGAAATCACTCTCGCATGTCAAGAGAGTCAGAGGTATATCAGTTCCCTTACTGTTTGGGAATGTCTACATTTTCTTAGCTTCTCTGCAAATAAAAAAGGGGAAATCGAGTCAGCTTGTTTATAAAACTGCACTGACAGTTCCTAATTTTATCACTTTTTTAAGTAGGTGACTAATGAGTTCTTCAGAATGATTGAAATGAACATTGCTCTGTTAAAATAGCAATTGTGATTTGACCCTACAGGCCAAAAGACCTGATACAGTGCCCATTAGAGTCAGTGGAAACTGCCCATCTATTTCACTGGATTTCAGACAAGCTACAGAGGTTTTAGAAAGATACCCGTTTAAAGGGGGGAAAAGCTAATATGCAGCTTGAATAGAGAATAGCACTGAAAATTTTATTTCTTGCAACAAGGTCAAAGCTGTGTGATTCCTGATCAAAAACCCTGGAAGCATTTAAGGAATTGTCTTAAATTGCCACCAAATACTCATGTTTGTCTGCTTGCATGACATTTTAAAATAGGTATTATATTACATCATATCATGTGATATATTTCTACCTGAAACAAAGTTTCATCAGAGAAGAAAGGAAGAACCAGGTTTCATCTCCAAATTCCTTACCTAAGTAAGAACTAAATGTAATTATGTAACTTCCCCATTTCAGAATGCTCTCTGAGGTACAATGATCTGAAATTCCTCTTCAATCAGGTTTTCTTGAGACATTATTGCTCGGAATCACATAGCAATGTTGGCGATCTACTTGTCTGGTTTTTTAATTCTTTAAGGCATTTCTTTTCCTCTCTCATGTCCCCAGGTTTGGGGTTTTTTTCTTTCTTTCCTGCATTATTATGGACCTCAAGAATTTTGTTTTCCCCTGCTTTTTTTTCACTTGTCCCCTGTTCCTTCTTCCACCAGCCCTTGTCATGAGCAGCTCTGCCCTTGAGCTGCAGCAGGTCCCCCATGGAGCCATAAGGCCACCAGATGAGGTGCAGGTTGGTTGCACACCTGCCTCACAGAGTGCAGCTGAGCCAGAAAATGCAGAGACTGAAGGGATTAAAACTCATAAGGTTTAGATTTTGGGGTCCAGTTTTGGCCAGAGACAAAAGTTACATCCAAGGCTGTGAAAAGCAGCTCTGTCCTAACAAGCGTAGTAACTAAAGACCGATAAGTAAACCTGTAACTAAAGGTTTTAAAGGGATTTTACCAGGGACTTTACAGGAGTCCCATTTTTTTCACATTCATTTTGGGGTATAAAGCGTCTCTGCTGTACCTGCTTGACACCCATTGCTCTGCTCTTTTCTAGCACAGCCCCTTTTCTAATCTGCAGCCTCTATTCAGCACCTCCTAGGATTGCTGTCCCACTTTTCCCAGGAACATTTTGAATGGGTAGGCACTGTTTGCAAGCACTAATTAAACTTGTGCATATGCTAATGAGGCCTTCAACAATGGACAATAATAGAGTTGAGTGTCTGTGTTATCTGCATTTATTTTTTTTTTAAATATGGCCTTTGTCAGACTCCCCCACCAAGCTGATTTCTAGTGCAGCCAGTATCACAGCTTTCCTTTCTCACTGGTTACCACCATGGTGTCCCTTATGTTGCAGTAACAGGCTGTTCCGCCACCCGTTACTCCTTATGTTAGATGCAGCTCCCTTCCTTTGCTCCAACACAATGACTACCAGTGAATAAAATAATCCATGTCAGCCCCTTTGTTTTGGTACAGTTGCCACTATGTGCCTGTAAACAATACAGCATCTCGTGACCCTTGCCCAGACCAGGCTGCTGATTCCAGTGAACCTATATTCTTGATCAGGCAACTGGTCTGACCAGATGGTATCTTGTATTTTCAAGCCCATTCGTGACATTTAAATTGTTCTTAAAAGCAACACTGGGTAGAACCAAGGACACAATAATACCGTTTCACTTCTTTGAAAATGAAATTTGTTATGTGTAAAACTGAGAATGGTTTTTCAAAATTTGGTTTTGAAAATTCTGTTTCTAAGATTTACAAACTTTTTTTTTTTTTTTTTTTGCAGCATATCAGGATAGGAATTTGGACAAATAAATTCCTCTAATTCTTGTCCCTTCTCTCTCTTTCTTTTTTACATTCAGATGATAAAAATGATGTATTTTGTCATCATCATGTTGGTGGTTCTGATGAGCTTTGGTGTGGCAAGACAGGCTATTCTCTTCCCCAATGAGGAGCCTTCGTGGAAGCTGGCGAAAAACATATTTTACATGCCTTATTGGATGATCTATGGGGAAGTGTTTGCAGACCAGATAGACCGTAAGCAAGTTTATGATTCTCATACTCCAAAGTCAGGTATCCAATTTTGATCAGATGATGTCCTATTAGATCATGTGTGTGTGCTCAATAAATGGCTCAGGCTAGAGGAACTCCATCCTCACACAGAATGGTCACAAAAATATTTTTTCAGCTAATATTGGGGCGTCAGTTTCAGAATATGCTTCTGGCATCCCTTTGCAACTATTTAACCAGAAATGTGTAATGCTAAATTATCTTGCCTATAAATAAAGTTTTAAATGGTTTCTTTTTACCAGCTGGGTGACTGGGATACCTTCCCAGGTATCCACCATGAGTTTGTTGGTATACCTGGGACATAAAATGTCGCTTCTTTTTTTCTCATCCATTGGTTTGATTTTAGACCTAAATACTTTCTACCTAACCCCATACCGAGCATCAAGTCTGATATTACTGGGTTAGACCTTCGTCTCCTGCACTTCATGAGGATCTAATCCAATGTGTTTTCTTTTCTCTGTTACCTTCTCACTTCCACCACCTTTACACTAAACCATGTGATTCAATTCTTTGGGGACAGTAGATCCATTATTAGAATTTTGCTTTATTTGTATATTGGAAGGCAAGACTGTGTTCACGTCAGTGCAAACAGAACAAAAGCCAGTATTTCATATACTATCTCCTCAGGACTCATTTGGCTGGTGATCAGGAAAATGCCAGTTTTCTATTTAAATTAAACCTCCTGGTGCCACTCGGTGCTCTACGCCAAAGGAGAGGGGTGGTCATGAGCAATGATGCAGTAGATGAACAAACTAAGAATCACAAAAAATGTATCTTTAGCAAACACTGACATGCAACTGATGTTCGTCATTCCTACTTAAATATGTGTAAGCCTTGGCAGCATTTAGAAGTGAGTATCTTTTCCAGTGGCAGATGGCATCCATTAAAGCTCTGTTTAGGATATTCCTTTTTATTCTATGTACCAACTTAGGAAAGGGCAGTGTTTTCATAATGTATTGTCTGCTTGTTCAGCATTGACCGAGTTTGAATGGAAAAAAGGTGTTGATTTCTCCTGAGCTGGTTGAGGTAATAAATGTATCTATATCACCAATAATGATGGACAGAGGTATACATATCACATGGCAGATATTTCAGCAGTTCCATGTTCATTTCTTCTTCCCAGTTAGCACAGAATCATTACTGTGGATACAGAAGAAACCTCTTTTTTATGTTTACTTCCCCACTTTGTTTTCAGAGGTAGCATGGCATGCAAGGAAGTAAACAAATACCTACAATCACAAAGCTTCTCACTGAGTTGAGCTTTTTACCCAATTCCCTCATTTTTATCCTTTTTCCTTTTCTTTTCTTTTTAAAAATTCATTTCATTCCAAAGGCATAATAGCTGGGGGTATAAAACTTCATCTCCCTCCAAAAGCATAATAGAGGGATAAAGGTTTGTCCCATTAAACGATGACTTACTTCCACAAGCAGAAGTCTGTCTGTCCCTCTACAAGTGGCCATTTATTGATGTTGTACTGAGTAACTATCATAGCGCAACAAACATGGCAATTGGCTGAATAAAAAGTTCTTGGTACTTTTTTTTAATGAAGTGCTGATTATAGTTTAGAACCCGAAACCTGAGAAACAAAAGTGTCTTTGAATGAAGCATGTTTTTTAAGTATGAAAAGAGGGTGGCAGGCTCCATGCCCTTGCATGAGGATTTAAGGGATAGTCTTGTTTGTTATTCAGATGCCCAACATTTAAACCTTGCAAAAAGATGCAGCGTAATTATTTCTGAAGCTTAGGGAAAGCAAATTTCCTGATGGATTCAACTCCAGTATAAGTGTAGGCATGTTGTTGTTCTGTCTGTGTCAGGGAAACTAGGAGTTGCGGCAGAAGTGGTGATGCCAAAATGAAAAGCAGCACCTAGTTCCTCCATCCTGAGAGACAGATGATGCAGGGAATTAGAATCTGCCACTCTTTCAGCACAAAATATGTGCAGTATGTCATGTCTGTCTGAGGCTCGGTTGTCTCAAAAATGTTACCGCTGGAATAGACTGGGAGCATGAGCAAATGGTTGGTGATGATGTTATACAATCAAGATGATCTGATTGGCGCCCAAAAAGTTTTACTAGTATACTTATGTTTTTTCACTATTTGTAAATTTGTTGTGATATATATTTTCCAAGTTGTTCTAAGCTAAATCAGCCACAGTATTCATGTTAGAGTACTACGGTGTTTGTACTTTCTCAAATAAGGTAAATGTTATAAAATTGTTATGCGACATTTAAACTGCAATGGAACTTCATAGTCTGGAGCAGATTTTTTTAATTAGTATTATTTTAGCAACCCAAAAGGGTTTCTTTGTGGTTTTCTTTGCATTTTGGTGTTTAATATTGCAACATTATTTGGGATTCAGCAAAAGTGCTGATCTTGGAAGAGCACATACATTTGAGCCACGCTCCTGGAGATTATCCTACTGTCTGAGAAATGTACAAAAAAAGTATGGTACTCTAAAATTTTTAACTTACTTTTGGTTTTTTTTAATATATTTTCTGTTAATTTGTGAAGTATGCCATTAAGGCTGACCAGATACAATGTCTGGATCCATCTTGTCAACTGGCAGCCTGTCCATCCAGTGGATCTACTCTGATTTTTATCTCAACACGCTGCACTGTCAAAACACTAGCAAAATACCTCGTTCTAAAATAATGCATGCCATATACAGTTTTACTCATAATTTCTGAATTCATTTCATTTTTTAAATACATATGTTAACTGGAGTGTGCATTGGTGTCCTGTTGGCATGTGATCTCAGCTTCAACTCAAAAGTGAGGACAGAATTATATCCTCACTTCTGGGAGTACGAATACACTATTCAGTGGCGTCATTTATTATCAGTGATGTACATAAATACCAGATTCCTACAAATTCCTGACTGTCAACCAGTTGCGGGGGGAAGGGAAGCAGAGCGAATCTTTTAGAACTGTGTTCAAATTTTCAGGTAAATTCAACAAAAAGATCAAACCCAGTCTCACAGTAGTTCCTCTCAGACTGACAGTTCATTACAGCTGGGTTAGCTAGGAGAGGAAGGGGAATCCAGGTCGGAACCGGTGATGGTATATACAACTGTCTCACTTTTAGGCTGCCTTTCCCAATCCAGATGAGGCTTCTACTGCCCAATGGTACCTATGGGGCAGCAGCCAGCCCCTTAGCTGCTTTAGTGATTGCCTAACTGGAAGGAAATCTGCAAATGCTGTAAAATCTCTCCCTTGGTTCACCTCATTTAATTTGGCATGATTTCTAGCAATTTTAGTCAAAAAAAATCACAACACAGTCGTCACATGCAAAGAACTCTGTTTTCACCTTACCAAGCTATCTGCTCCTCCAGAATACTATGGATAAAGAAGTATATAAAGAAATACTGAAGCGGAAAGAATTATTCAGGGAGTGATCTTGCTTGGTAAAAAATGCAGATAGGTGACACAAATGGCAACTTGAGAAATGGCGGTCACCTGTAGAAAATCAACAGCAGACCTCACATTTTCCTATATTCAGAAGGCAAAGCAACTGAGAGTGCTGTTAGCCAATATGGGTTTGGGTTTTTTGGTTTGGGCTGTTTTTCAGATTTGTCTGGTGTCTCACGTCAGATTTGCATCTGGATTTTCTTTCCAGCTGACAGTATTTCAAATGCCATCTGGAATCTGACGATCAGTCTGAGTTGTGTTTGTTCCCCGTGCCTACTCCCTTATTGGAAAAACCTACATAGTTTAAGAGAAAAAGATGGGGCCTCCTTCTTTTTCACTTGTATTGGAGGAATGCCAAATAACCAGAATGCAGTTGTTTCGGAAGATGAGAGGCAGTTATATACAGGTTTTAACTATCATCTAATGAACTTAAGAGGAAAGTATAATTACTAGAAAAAAACTTTTTTTAAAATTCTTTAAATTTCTTAGTTTGTTAGATTTATTTATTTCTTAAAGTTCTTTCAGGTTTCTTATTATAAATGAAAATTTTATACTAAATTCTACACGATCTTAGAGGTTTCATGCTTTTCATGTCTCCATAGGAGCTTCCTGTAAGGGCTGTCATTTGCATAGATCATTCTGGAATTAGAACAAACAGAGCAGCTTTGCACAAAACAAAATAAACCATACCTGTGCTTTATTTTTTACTTTTTTGGTTTTTTGATCTGTTTTGCAGCTCTGCAGCACAGGCAGTATTTTTAGTATTGTTAGGCAAAGGCAGAGGATAAAATTTGTACACAGCCCACACACCATTTTGAAAGTGTCTCTGGCCTGAGCTGTAGTAGTATTGCCCTTCCTAGCATTGAGGAGGCAGAAAGCACCAGAGAGAATAAGAAAAAAACAGGGATTTACTATAAATTATGATTAATATACCAACATATTGGAGACACTCTTCTAAGTAATTTTTAATGTGGCTGAAGGGCAAGGAGCAACATGTAAGGTCACAATGGTATAGTTAAAGCAACTTTTTTGAAGTAATGAGACACTGTTTAATTCCCTGGATATTTCTGCTGATGAACAGAGCAATGGTGTGAGGTTCAAAGTTCCCAGAGTTCAGTATTTTCTCTGTCAGTGAAGAAGTGGACAACTATATACTATATACAGGTGCCTATATACTCATAAATAGGGTGATGAAAGTGCATGTAAAATGTCCAGACTTGGGGAAAAAAAAAAAAAAAAGATGGGTTGGTATGTTAGTTAATGTGCACTTACTGGTTTCTTTATTCTTTAGAACTGTGGTCATATGAACCCATTGCACAGTTTCTGGTGATTTCAAACAAATCAACTCGTATTGTAAAAGTGGTATCCATTTTTACATGCAAAGTTTTCTTAAAAGGCAAAAAGCTGTTTGGTAACAAAGCTGTTCAATTATGCACTTTCCTCTCTCCATTATTTCCCACAACTACTTCGGAAGGGTGCAGCTGGGGGAAGAGCCATGACGCAGAGATTTGCAAGCGTTGTTTCCCAAGCCCTCCACCCAATACACAGTAAAAATGAGCAGCGCCCGTGTCATGACAGTAATTACAGCAGGGAAACAAACTCTTCCCGAGCCCTGCCACCACTTTAGGCCTGAGAGGCACAGAGGCATGGGTTACGGCTGTTTGCTTTGCAACTAGCTGCTGGCCAGGAAAGAGGAAGAGTTCGGCATGTAGCAGGAAAGGCCGATACAGGAAGCTGTAAATGGGAGCCAAGAAGGAAAAATAAGCATAGGAGTAGATTGTGAAAAAGGAAACGAGAGATACAAAAAAATATGCACATCCACAGATGTCAGGATGCAATATTTGAAAGCTGAGTGACGTTAATGCGTGTAATTGAAATTAAAACTCAAGCCGTTTATTATTTTCTAAAGCCTGAGTTCAGGATGTAATGTCTGACCTTTATCCAATGGCCTGTAGGTATCAGACTGATTGGGATTTTCAGTTACCTGAAATAGGCATATAGTTATACTAACAGAATTTGCTTCAGCAAAACATTTCACTAGAATTAAGTACTCATGTATTTTTCGTTAAAGTAAGGCTCTAATGTAAGAACATGAGTATATTTTCATGCATTAAAACTGTGCTTTGAAGAAGTTTGTTGTCACAATATGTTACTGAATATACTACAAAAATTACGGCATTTCTCCAAACATAATTAAAATGGTCATACCATGTTACACATGAAAGGCAGGTGCAGATCTCTCAGGCACAAGGCACAGCACTCAGCAAGTGAAAGATTTGGATTTATGGAGAGCGTAGCATTACCACAGCGGGAGCCCTGGGACACCAATGCTAATCAAATGGGGACCCGACACAGTGGAGCCCTGCTGGGGAGTGAAGCTCAAGGGAAAGCCCTTGCGCTGCTTAACATATCGTGCATATGCACTGTGCTGTTGCACTCCTTAGCGGACTCACTGATGTAATGCAGGTGGTGGTGTCCGAATTCTGAGATCCGCAGCTGGCCGTCACATTGTCGCCCGTGCAGGGGTATGTGCAGATGGGGGGGAAGCAAACTACCCCAGGTTACTGCAACAAGGACATAAAACGTGCTTGGGACTCTACGTACTCAGATGGGGGAGGTGAATTGTCCTGGGTTACCGTAACAAAGTCTTCTCGAACCCTACAAACAGAATTCCAGTTTCTTAAATGTAAACAAGTGTCTTTGTTATCTAAAAAGAATATCATTGCTACTTTTAGCCTCCTGCCAGAGTCCTCTGTCCTTTCTCACAGAGAGAAATTTCTGTTTCTGGTTTCCTGGGAGTATTTGTTTTAAGAAAACTGTTCATTTAATAATGGGGAAAAAATCCTTTAAAATTAACATTATAGTTTAAAGATGGAAGATGTTCAGTAATGTGCAGTGGAACACAGGCTTCTGCATTTTGGACACTCATCATACATTTTCACATGCAGCTGAAGATGTGAAGATTAAGTGGTGGCTTAGTTCTCCATAAAGTAAGGCATGAGATTAGTATTCCCTTGTTGTTTAAAAACTGTTCCCACAACAGAACGTTCAAAAGAGAAACACTTTTGAAAACCTTCAGGACAAGCCAAACGTCTATGCATGTAGAGAATAGACTATGAGAACTTGTCTTTGTAAGAAGTCTAATTTGGCCATCACTGTGTGGCATAAACCGACAGGGATGCATTATGGTATCCTAAATACTCTGTTGGAGGCAAATAAAGATGGATATTTTTCTCTTGGTAGTTGTCAAAGATGGGGGGGTGTTTATATTAAATTATCTTTTTTTAATAGAAAAAAAATGGGGTGATAAAACTGTAACCGGACTTTTAGCTGAGTTTTTGATCTCATTGATCTAAGGTTTAAAATATGTTTTCCTCCAATTTCTCTCATTGCTACAAAAGACATTGTTTCTTCTGTTCTTCTGCATGCAAAAGGACAACAGGCTTCATCAACTGATAGAGTGATTGCTCCATTACTGGTGAAATCATGACAGGTTTCAGTACTGTATTGTGTTGGACTTCATAGCTCTAAATCAACATGTAAGCAACTTAGTGTTTCCACACAAACGGAAATGTAAGTCTCACACTGAGTGCTGATACCAAGAGATATTGAATGTCCCAGTTTCTGCTGGGTGAAGGCTGAGTGCACATCACCCCGCACTCTCAGCAGCTGACCACAGATGGCATTTTGAATGTCTGAATGAAGACGCTGCTTGGAGCAGTGCGGAAGCATGAAATCGGCACTAACTTAAAACGATCTGCAAGGTGATGCTTTCTGAGAAATAAAGAACTGTGTACTCTCAGTCTGTTCCAGTAATAAAGTGTATTTTTGTAAGTAGGAAGGACTAGTGACACCATGGGTCCAGACACAACAGAGATGCTTGTAAAAGTAGTATTGTTTGTATTTGGTTTTGCCATTTCTTTTTCAGTGAGTTGAGCATCTGGGGATAGTTCTGGTTTGAAACTAATGCACCATATTCTTCTGTCCCATATGGCTATAATATTTCTGTAAGTAATAACCCAACACCTGTATGTAGTGCCCAAAACCAAGAACCCAAATCACACATAATATCATATGACTGCCAATACAGACACCCACAGTTGAATCCCATGACCTGTAAACCAAGTTCAGAAGGACGTTTTTGAGAAGAAGCAATACTTGGTATTGGAAATCATGGATTAGTTGGCATAGGGTGGAATTTTACAAAACATATGGCACTGACAAACTTTGTTGTCCATGAAGTCAGTGAGAAACTCTCATTGAATTCAG